GGCTTTTTATGGGCCCGTTCTGCCTCTATTCGAAATCGATGCAAACACCTCAGCTGTACAGGCACTGCTACATGCTGGCGACTCCGCGTGCACCGCTACTGCACTGCTTCCCGACATACCCTCTCCGCGTAGCTGATGCAGTACAGCTCCAAATGTCTACACGTTTAGGCAAATACAAAACAGCTAGCCAGACAAACGCTCGACCTCTTGCCGTCCAGATTACTGTGGCTACATGCTTAACGCACATATGGCGGATAAAAGAGCCACCTGCGTTCCATGTGTACTCGGACGTGTCTGTATTATTTGCAGTGCTGTGCTGCACCTTACCCTTTCTTGTCGTTCTGGCCGGCTACCCCATTCCCTAGCCACAGTGGCCATTTGCGCCTCTTTACCCGTGCATAATGGCCTTACACCGACCTGTGGTGCGATGTCTTGAATGTGGTCAATCCCCTACTCAAAGCAGTCTCAGTGAAACCTTCACAGCAGCGCCACGAACTTGTGAACAGCGTATACAAGTTTGTCCTGGCATTGTATCCTCTCGCAAAGCTGTGACGCAGCTAACAGAAACCGTCGGCCCATTACAACTCTCTTTTCTCCTTCGCAAACACAAGGGGCTAGTGCATCGCACTTACGCCTCGCCTGCGTCGAGGCAAGAGAGCCTCACATACACACTGCTGCCTGCTGCGCGGCGGGAAGCTGTGTCGGCTTCTCTCAACGAAATCACGGCTCGAAGTAAAGACTAATTGCAAATACGTGGTCAAAGCAGCAAGTATCACTACAGAACATACACGGAAGCGGAACTGAACCTGCGGAATGGCCCAGACCACTGGGTGGCTGCAGCGACCGCCCCCCCCGTGCATACAGCAGTGCCGCAACTTAGGTAGAAAATGCAACATAATGCAGGAAAAGAGAATATACTGTATGTTCATGAAAACAGCAACATAAATACACAGGGGGAGCAAGATATGTGGGGCATGCGCTGCCTGTTGCACGCTGCATGAAGTAGCCGATCAGGCCTGGCACGTAGCGCGCGCTGCAGGGGTCTGTGGTTTGTTGCTGTAGAGGAGACCGACGTCCTTTTTTGTTTCACCGTAGTATTTCCATGGAGTGTTCAATTGCCCAAGGGCAAGCTGGTGCACTGTCTTTATCCCCTCTCTCCCCAGGCGTAGCGATCTACCTTTCGATGCTGCTCGTTGGCCGCTGCGCGACTTCGAGATGCACGGGATCGGCTTTCCTACCTTACTTCTTCATCAACACTGAACTTTTTTGGTGCAGCTGCAATCAGGAACTTCCTAGGGCCACTCAACTGGCGTAAAACACCCCCCACCAGACAACCACCGCTGCCCGGTGACCCTGTCCACTGGAGCCTTGGAGCCATGGGAGGCAAAAGCAGCACGCGTGAGCTTTCGAGGGAACTTCCAAAGGGGAAAGGGGGAGTTCTCTTCTCCTTAGATGCAGATAAGTGCACAGGAAGTTGGGACCGAGGCTGAAGTCCGAGAAGTCTTCTGTAGGAGGGAGCGGCAGGCAATACTGATTCTTCTCTCCAGTATTAATTATTCTCTCATCTCGGCCTCTGCATTGAATGCATGCGTATGCTTCTGCGGTTACAGCGTGCGATACGGGAGGATATGCGCACTGTCAAAGAGTTGAGTACGCGGAGTCATGTCAAGCAGGGGACGGTTTCTGGTGTACCTGCCAGAAGGGCTTTAGCCCGCAAGGGGTGAACCAGAGCTCTACTTGTGTCGGTAAGCGGTGGAANGTACCTGCCAGAAGGGCTTTAGCCCGCAAGGGGTGAACCAGAGCTCTACTTGTGTCGGTAAGCGGTGGAAATATCAAGTGATAAGGAGCAGCACTCGTCAATTAGACGAGCCCTAGACCTTCGTTGTTCGGCTGCCATTCGTTCTGTTGTTACACACGTCATGTCCCCGGTTTCTTTTTATGCTGCAGACATAGACGAGTGTGCACAAGGCCTCGACAACTGCAAGCAGAAAGGAGGGGACTGTGTGAACACTCCTGGCAGTTTTACTTGTGGATGCGGCCCCTACCGCCAAGAAAGAGATGGAATTTGCGTTGGTGAGGATTTTTCTTTTTGCCTGTCCCTTGTATATTTTCTTTATGTCTCACCTGTTCGCTTTTTTTTTCTGCCAACATACGCCTTCTTGCATGTACAGCATAACAAGTTGTACTTGCTGTCCCCGTAGAGAACCCCAGCACCGCACTCTTGCAGCCCACACAGCTGCATCTCTACGGTCGATTGTATTCTATCCCCATGGAATTCGGCGTTCACTGCATGGAGCAGCTACAGCTGCTGTTGACATTTGGAGCCTTCAAATTACCGGCAGTGTCTCTACACCCGCGTAGGAGTAGTGTGCATTGGATGCCTTAGTTACGGAGGCTCTGCGTCTGTGCGATCTGTATGCGCAGACATAAACGAATGCTCGACGAACAGAGGAGAGTGCGATGAAAATAGCGACTGCATCAATGTCGATGGATCTGAGCAGCTGTGCAAGTGCCATAAGGGCTGGACGGGTAATGGCGACAAACCCGGCGTTGCATGCAGAGGTTAGCACATAGCATCTGAACATTGAAGCACCAACAAGAAGCACAACATTGTGAATATTACGTTTGAACGGAATCTCCCAGTTACAGTAACCAAGTGCTGCAAAGATGTCCAACTAGACGATCGCATACACTCATGAGCAAATACAGGTTAACCGAAAAATAGCCATTTTTCGTTTAACCTGTATTTGCTCATGAGTGTATGCGGTCGTCTAGTTGGACATCTTTGCATATGNGCCATTTTTCGTTTAACCTGTATTTGCTCATGAGTGTATGCGGTCGTCTAGTTGGACATCTTTGCATATGTATGTGCCGAAGAGTGTGTTGTGATATGCGTGTTGGCGCGCCAGACATCAATGAATGCAACGAGAACCCTGCTATCTGCCCGTCAAATTCAATATGCACGAACTTGCCGGGTTCGTACAAGTGTGAGTGTGGGCCTGGTTTTGAACCCGATTCCTCTGGCAGTGGATGCGTGACGGAGGACTTCTGCGGAACGGGAAAGAACGACTGCGACTCAGTCTTTGCCACGTGTTCGCTGGTGCCTGGTTCGTTCAAGTGCGAATGCATCCAGGGGTTCCGTGGAGTAGGAACGGTCAACACATGCGAGCGTAAGCAGACACCCACTCGATGCCATCAACAGGCACGAAAACGGGAGGAGGCACGCGCCAAAGCTGTATTTTACGGTTGCATTCCCAATGCACTTCCCGGGACTGTCTTGGTGAATGTTCAGCGCTTGCGGGGAACGAGGATCTGGCTTGCACAGCATTGGGACTGACTTGTGGAGACTACAAGTACTGCACAAAGAGTACAACCCAGGCAGGAATGTGGGAGTGCGCAGACAAAGCGGCTTCTGAACAACTCGCCGTCTTTCTAACGAATGGCTCAACAAGCGACACGCCGTCGTGGATTTGGGCTGTCGTCGTTTTGTCCACCATCGTGCTCATCCTTATATCTGGAGGCATTTTGTGTGCGTCTCAATGGATCGTCACGAGTTCTATCCATCCTTTTCCCGTAACAGGGGACACAGTTCGCAAGTTTAGCCTGCGACCGCGTATTCACTTGGTAGATATTGACAAAGTTACGTTTTGGGGTACATACCCGAACGTAGGACTTAACAGTCGTAGTTTGAAGTTGCGTGCACGGTGTTTTCAGGGTGCTTGTACAAACGGTTTATAAAGAAAAGCGAGGAGAACGAGGAAGACCTGCTCACTGAACAAGGTGCGTAGGTGGGAATATGGGAATACATTGCTAAAACCCAACAGAGAGACTCAGTAGTGCTAAACCAACTCGCGAACTGCATAAAGCTTGCGTTTGATCATGTTGCAGATATCGGCGAGGGCTATAACTACGGTGCAACCCAAGGCTATTACGCTTGACGGATTTAAACTGATTCAAACGAAGAGTCTACCTTCTTTGCGTGCTTGCATTGCATGTCTTAGAGGGTGAAAGACCGGACTCTGATTTTCTGTGTTTTGTCTAGGCGTTCGTACAGCGAACAAACCACTAGCATGCGCAGATAAGTGAAGAACCCTATTTTCTGTCCATCCTATTTGAAACGCATCGTGCTGCGCTAGGGATGGTTCGCTTGATTGGTGAGGAGAGCTACAACTGAGTTGGCATTATCGTTGCTTTACTCCTGAAGGTAGTTGCAGTGCTCCTTAATCCAGGAAGCCCTACTTATGCCCCGCATGCCCTGCTTCGGTGGCGCTGCTTCGGCTAACTTAAGTGAATCAAGTGCCTCTGTAGCTTCAGTCTGAATATTTCTGTGCCCAAAACAGTTTTGGTAATCGCATTCCCGTCACCACAAACTCACGAGTGAAGCATTTGGCACTTACAACTCCGGTGTTTGATATTCACTAGAGCCACCCGTCTTGTGGCGAGCGGGGAGTCCTTCTAGTGCCTGCGTGTACCGGGGCTCAGCAGTGCAACAGCTAGTGTAAGGCAGTGACTTTTCAGTTGAAGTTACAGCGGTCCCTCGACGGAGCTGTCGTGTACAATAGTAGAGCGTTGCCAGTTCTGCTGTTCGCGTGTACAAAGTATGAAGGAACGGAAGGTCGAGTGTAGGGATGCGGGAACTTGGGGTAAAGAGACCCACCCGATGATCGTTCTAAACATCTGGATGCCGTTTAGCCCGATGGCCGGCTGTTGGGGAGCCGCCAGCCTCGTCTTCAATCGCTTACCAGCATTCCCGACATTTCAGCTTCCACATAAATTCATTCAAGCGAAGCCTGGCATCCACTTAGAGCATACCGCTAGCAAAATCCTAAAGACCAGTTACGGCCCCGACGGTAGGTTGAGGCGAACGCCGAGATAACACAAGCTACTAAGGCTAAAAATAGTTAAGCACATGTACTATAAAAACCCGCAAGCACAATGCATCAGGAGTGCCTTCAAGAGACGAATTCACTCTGTCCACGAAGCTCCATAGATACTGGATAAACAGTTAAGGTCGCCTTGCAGCGAACCTCCACTGCAGAATGCCCCTACATCTGCGAGTGCCGTTCAAGTGCAGGACTGCCAATCTGCAGAACAGACCAGCTACGTATCGCATCCGTTGCGTTGTAGTCAGTCCGAGCCCCGTTGACTGTATGACCCCACAACCACTCCCCCTCCTACAACGCTAGGTTCCACTAACTACACAATATTTGCCTACACAATGTATCTGCCTACCCTACACTACGGACACTATACTACGGACGCCTCATAACTGTGACGAAGAGATCGCCTGCGATCATTTGGTAATGGCGCCTGTACGTCCGCAGGACGCATTCTGACGAGTTCGCTGCATAGCACAATCGGGTAAGGGAACGGGCGCTTGCGGGCATCCGTTTCACCTCAACAGACGTGCCATGGCTCACAAGACTGTCGCCCGCACGGAAGTCCCTTTGCGGCAAAATGAAAGGAACTCCACTAGAGCAACTCAGCAGCCCGCTACACCATTCAAAGCTATTGCTGTGCATATTACTCTGCTGGCTTGTGCAAAATCGTTCACCACGCCACTCCGCAGATCATCCCTTCTCTGCTGTCTCATCGGCAAGCTTGATCTGGGAGCATTATCAATCTGCTTCTAGTCAAGGTGGCACAGGCGCTAAACGCCATTCGCAAGTACGTGCTGCTGTGTGTAGTCGTTGAGCAACGGAAGCAAACGGATCAGGGATGCGTCTCAGTCCGGCTAATAACTTATACTGTGCATCAAACAACGATGCAGTGCCGGTAAATATCTGGGACCAGCGGCGCGCAGGCAGCAAATCGCTGTTATCTCGAAGTGCAATTTCCACGCCCATCCGGTCTGTTAATGCATGCTCTGCGAGCCAACCTCCTTTCACAAAATGTACACCATGGCGGGATCTAATGCCCCGAAAATCGTCCACCACAACACGCTGATAATCAACGCCGCCGTCGGCGCTGTGTTCCAACACTGTGGCTTGATGAGCCTACTGCTGTTCAGTAGCCTCCACCTTCGGCGCCTCGGCGGCATCGCCCACGGGCTGCTGCTGCTGTTCCTGAGTCTGCAAGTCGCTGGTCCAGAGAGTCAGATTGTCACGTAGCAGTTGCATGATAAGAGTGGAATCCTTGTAAGACTCCTCGGAAACCTGCGAAGTCGAACAGGCATTAAACAAAAGGAATCGATATAAAGAAAGTGACCTTCCGTAGCATCCCATGAACAAGGTAACTCAAATCCCACAGCCGGAACCCGAGGTCCCGCGAGACTTACGCTGTCGAACTCGGTAATTGCATCATCGAAAGCCAGTTTGGCCATTTCACAAGCCTTCTGTGGCTGGTTGAGAATCTCGTAGTAGAACACAGAGTAGTTGAGGGCCAGACCCAAGCGGATAGGGTGAGTAGATGGTAGTTCTGCTTCAGCGGTGTCCGTCGCACGCTTGTACGATTCCTCCGCCTGTTCTGCCGATGCCTTCTTCCCCTCTTCGTTGCTGAACTCGGAAATGTAACGGTAGTAGTCCCCCTTCATCTTGAAGTAGAAAACACGACTCTCAGAATCCTATGGAAACCAGAACGCGCAAAACAAATGGTTCTCAAAAGGATACCTTCAAGTTCAGATGCACCTCCTACCTGCACCCCTTGTGTTGAAAAGAGCTTTGCGTTCAACTGTCTGGGCTGTGGGGAACGAACCGTGGTGCGGGGCAGCAGCTTGTCGGTCAGAAGGGTCAGGATCTCCTGGCAGATTTTGTTGAGCTCATTTTCAACCTTCTGTCTGTAGCTCGCTGCCAAGGCCTTGTTCGTCATGTGGTTCCTGTTGGCCTCCTTCTGCTCAACAGAAGAAATTATGCGCCAGCTGGCGCGGCGGGCTCCCACGGCGTTCTTGTACGCAACACTTAGTAGATTCCTCTCCTCAACAGTCAACTCGTCCCCCTTGCCACCTGGAGTGGAGCTGTTCTGGTCGAGACAGTTCTCCACCAAATTCTTCATCGCCTCCGCCATTTCTGCAGCATGCGCAAAACACAAGTAGACTATGGCTGACAAGGTGCTGGTCAACTCCCTCTATAAAGCTGGGAATGCCCCTCCAATACGACAGACTCAATTCGTCCAACAGTATGCGGAACGCTCGACCACGCCATCACATTACAGATGCGCCTCAAGTCTGCCATTCACAATGCTTCAGCCTGTAGACTACAGGCCTCCACCCAGCCACCCGAAGCGCCTAGCTCATCCTCTCGAAGCACCAGACGCTTCCTTCACATGTTATACGCATCACAAACGTCAGCTACCAACATTAATGAACGGAAACGCCACATCCAAATGCTAGCAGTCACTTCCCCCGGTACCGCGCAACAGCCAGAGGGCAGCCGCTGGAAACATCGGCAGCGCGCGAAGCACGTCGAGGAAAAGATCGCTATTGTGCACGCAGTGGCGCTTCTGCCACTGCCAGTTGCCACCAGGGAAGCATTCAAGGCCTCCATACATGCTGAAGCAGCCGGGCGCCACGCCAGCTACGCATCCTCCTTTGTCCACAACCGGCTAGATGAGACGGAAGTGGCTCTATGGATACTGCCGAAGCAATCTCCACCTTAAAAAAGAGGTAAATCAGCCCTCAACTGCAGAGCTTGTCAGCAGAAAACGCCTACAGCTGGCCGCACCTGCGACCCATCACCCTACCATCCCGCGAAAGCGTGACTGAGGAGGCATTCCTGAGCCACGTGCCACCATAACGAGGGAGAAGAATGAAATAGCCGAATATGCTGTACCCGATGTCCCGAACTGGCGTGTAAATGCAGAAAAAGGGACCTACCGTCATAGCGCTCCGCCTGCTCAGCGAGCTTGGCGCGGTACACATGCTCCTCGCGGAGAGTCTTGATGTCCTCAATCATTTTCACGCAGAGACACCAGAATAAGAGCTCAGGCACATAAAATTCGCCGTCAGAGGTCACTCTACAGGCTCAAAAGTGCTTAACTGTGAGCAAGCAACCCGCCTGCTGGCACGGCGCTTCATCCGCACACTGCTGCTGCTGCCGCCGCTGCACGCAGCAGCCCGCTGCTGCTACTGCTGCTGCTGAACTGACAACACCCCGCAGTTGGGAGGCTCTTATAATATTATTTTGTTGCATTAATGCGATAGTTGCTGTTTCTGGACGTCCTCTTCCCTTTTATTCCATCTTCAGCAGCACACATGTGCAAGGATTCAATTCCAACGCCCACCTCAATAGGAGGGGGTTAGTTGGGCCCAGCCCATCCGGTGCATCTAGAGCAGAGGGTCTGGCTTGTGTTAGCTATTTTCTAGGAATTTAGCTATACTTTTAGATTTAGAGACATTTAACCATTGCTCTGGCTCATGCATGCAAAGTGAGGTCATAATGGTTCCCAATTGCATTTTCTCCCCCCGCTAACTGCGTGGCCCCCCACAGGCAGCTGCATTTTTGTCATGCTCGGCATTGTGTGCAGCGTTTCCTCATCATAATATACAATGAATCTTGGAAATTTGTTTAGTAGTCTTCTACGTTCAATCATAGCCTTTTTTGTGGGCGCGACGCGTCCGAATCGGCCCGGCCCCCTTCACCAGCGGGTCGCAGGCTCCCATAAGGATACTGCGGTAACGGGTTGCAAGATCATGTCGCTCACTTTTCCATGAACTGAATAGTAGTGTGTCCTCCAATAATTGACCTTGGCAAGAACCATTTCAGTCGTCTTCGGACGGGCTGGTGTATGCAAGCGGTTGCATGCTGCGGAGCATGGCCTGTCTAAAGCTTTATGTGTATTTCTACTGGTGTGTAGGTTGGCTGCTGGTGGCCAGGTGAGTGTTTATTGCCATTTTACAATGTTGGCACATGCATCAAAAATGGGCTTGGGCATGCTCACATATTGGGTTGCCTGGCAGGGAGCGTTGCAGCTTGTAGGATGGCCTGTGTAATTCGTGCTTTCTGGTTTTGTTCAGGGAGAATGGGTCGGCCCCGCAAGGGGTCAAGCAGTTCTGTATCGACATGAAGCATCGAAAAATTTTGCTTCGCTGTGGTTCAGGGGCTTGAGGTCAACGCGCACGTGCCGCCTCGGATAATTTTTCATCGCGAGCACCGGGTTCTACCCAAGCGTTTTAGTTGACGGTTGAAATTTGCGTTCTCTTAGCAGCGCATCTGCTAGCAACCCTAGTGCCTTTGCAAGATGCCTGGATCGGCTCTACCTCGGAACAACGTTTGGGGCCGAGCCGGAAGTGAGTTCGATACGGTGCATTGGGCGTTCCTGCAGGTAGCCGGCCGGTTGGGAGCTCCGTGTGACTGAGTGCATCACAGAACGCCTTTTTCAGCGACACAGACTGCAGCGGTTCTTCAAGGGTTAACTTGATTGAATTTCTCCAAACTGGGGTCTTCGTGAAAGAGCCAACATGGGGCGCATGTATTTCTTCGGCGTTCGGGGCGATGAAATGGCCCGACGCAGCAGCCTAGCATCAGCGTAATAAAGCCCACTGCTTACATGTTTTAATTGATCCAGCATGAAGTACAAGCGTATCAGCTCCACCGATCCTCATGTACTGCCTTCCACAGGCAAAGCACATTAACAGACTCCGCCAATAAACAACCAGGCAGGTAGTACTTCAGCGGCGTAGCTTTAGATATCAGATCCGTTTCGCGCGCCGTATCAAGTGCTTTTAGAGTCTCTAAACCATTAGTATTACTGTACTCGACGGAACTGTCCTTCCATTGCGCGTTTGTCACCTCTTGTGGCCTCAACACTGAGCCGCGCATTGCGCAGGGGCTAGAACGTTTCGCAGGTCGCTTTGTTGGTTTGCACGGCGTCTCTGATCTTACCGAAGGACATTTTTGAGCAACAATAGGGTCGGAACACTCTGTATAAGAATTTTACAGAAGCACCAGACCCCTATTCCGGTACCCAGGTATAAATAACGCTTGCTCTCTGGCCTTGATCAAGGACAGAAACGAGCTGCAGTGTAGGTAAAGACTTACAGCAAGACTTCCCGCAAAACAGCAGACATCCTTCCCCTGTTATCCGGCCTACTGGGCATTCAGCTCAGGGCCTGGGTGTTGCGGGGAAGAGGCTACCTGTAATGGGATAGCAGCGCACCTCGCTGCGGCTGGCAATACAAGCCAGCTTCACGCATGCAGACAAGCAAGCTTCAACGAAGCTTCCTTTGCTGCATGCTTTAAATCTGAATGTACTTATAGAACGTCTGTGTTTGCTTACATGCCATCTACGAAGGCCAAGTGAAGGCTCCTTTGCTAACGGCGGGCAGATCATGCCCATGCTAGACCAGGATTTTGGGGAGCGGTGGAACAAGTCCCTGTGAAGAGACGGGCCGTTTCGTGTTGCAGGACCTAGCTATGTAACGAGACTCCCCAAACTTATTCGGGGACTACTGCTACGTGCCAGGCTGTCCTGTTGTGTGGGTGAGGTTCGTTTTTGTCCCTGCCCCAGTGAGCTATGCCGCACTGCTGAGTGTAACGATAGCCCACGATGTTATCCAAGCACAGCTCCGAGCTGCAAAGGAGTCAAAATACTTGTCAATAACGGCAACATTGCCGTGGTCGTTGTGCACGAGTGAGCGTTGAATGAACAATTGAGATGTACGTGAGTGCATACTGCTGTTTACTGAGTAAATACTTTGATGAGTCTATTAGATACTGTTTACAAAGGGACGTATTGCTATGACTATACGAGAGGCCGACCTATGACTTGGTACAAAAGGTGTTGCAGCATGCCGATTGACCTGCCGACCTGCAGGGGCAGGTCAACCACGACTTCTTGGGGCCAACCGCTGGGGGGTGGGTTATAATATACATGGATGCTTTGCTAATGTTCCTCCGAAATGCGCAGGAGCACCTAGCACCTCCGGCGGACCCTACAACTACTACATGAGAAGCAGTAGTTCGTGAAAGCGCGGATGTGTTCGTTTCCATTCAAAATAATCATTCAAAATAATCAGCTCCTTAGCTCTTCGTATCTCTGCGGCAGGGGTTGAACCAGATCCAGCTAAGGTCCAGGCGATTAAGAGGTGGCCGCTACCGCTGTACAGGCGGACGGACGTTCAGAAGTTCCTCGGGCTCGTCTCATACTACCGCCATTCCATTCCTTGATTCGCTCGCATTGCTGGCCTTCTAACTGGTCTTCCTGAGAAGGACAAACAGTTCATTTGAACGGAGAATGATGATGAAGTTGCTCTACGCCACATCGGGCACCTGTCATCATCCCCAGTACATGCGCTTCCTGATTTTGATAAACCCTTTTTCTTCACGACCAATGTCAGCGACAGTGCAGTCGAAGTTATGCTCTCAGCAGTCTTGGTACCCACATCGTTTCAGAGAGAGGGACCAAAAGTATCCAGTACGGGAAGAGCTCTACGTGGTCTGCTGGGGTGTAAAAAAGTGTCGAGATTACTTATACGGAAGGTCATTTCCTGCCCAAACTGATGATCAATCCGTATCCCACCTGACAGAAAGTTTTCAAGAGTATGATAACGAAAGAGTTCTTCGGCGGCTCTCCCGACGCACGCAGTACGACTTCAGTTTCATGTATACCAAGGTTATCTATCACCAGCTTGGTCGCTAACGCACTCTTCAGACACCCTAAGGGTCAGGCACAATGTTCCGGGACTGCACATGTCTGTGATGATTCCCGTTTTATATCCGAATTGCGTTCTTCTTATTCCTTAGATACTCACCCGGCTGCGGTCCTAGCTAAGCTCAACAATGAGAGACGGGTCAAGTAGTACAGCATCGATAGCGACCTCCTGTGGTGCCAAAGCAAGGGTGAACTTCACAAAGTGTACGTGCCAGCCTCGCTTCGCACTGAAACTTTCCGGAAAATGCATGGTCATGCGCTAGCGGGACATGGTAGGGTCAGCACAACAGTGGTGCGTTTTGCCAGGTCCTTTTGGTGGCCTAGACTGCGCCCCTCAGTCGAGGAGTTCGTCCTCTCTTTTCCGGACTGCCCGCAGCAAGAACCGCTGAGCACCCTCAGCCCGGGAATTCTGCAAAGCTCTCCAATTCCAGAAAGGATCTGGGCGGACATTTCAATGTATTTCAGAGTGGGCCTACCACGTGCCAGAGGCCATGGTAATATCTATATCGTTGTGGACCGGCTCGGCAAATATAATCATTTTATTCCGTGTTCAAGCACGCCCACAGCGGAGGGTGTTGTTCAGCTATTCATTAGTCAGGTGTGGAAGCTCGATGGCTTCCCAAAAAGCATCGTTACGGAGAAGGATCGAAAGTCCGTTATCGGCTTCTGGTGGAGCCTAACGCAACGGCTCAACATTGACCACAACATGACCACCGCCAAGCATCCGGAGGCAGATGCTCAGACCGAACGAACTAACTGCAATCTGGTGCAGTATTTGCGACTGTACACCCAACAGAACATCTAATGGGATTGATTTTCTTGCTTATCCAAAATGGGTTTATAATACTACAGTGCACTTGTCAACACATTGTCCCCCAGCGTCCCTGGACTCTACAGAAACTCTACTAGCTGAACCGACGCTGGATCTTTGTGTTCGAAGCCAGTCCCGAATGACCGCGTCATCTGACATCCGCACACCGCTCGCAGCAGCGCGGGGATGCAAGAGAAAGGCACAGGAACGCTAAACCAAAACGAGACGTTCAACAATTACATTCAACCCGGGTGACTTGATTCTAGTGGATTCGCACACCCTCCGTAGAGAGCAGAAGGGTGAGCAACCCTAAAATTTCGCAAGACGATGGGTTGGGCCATTTGCTGTCCGCTGTTGGGTCAGTACATTGGCCTACATCATTGACTTACCCTTAACGTGGAGGCGTCATCATATTGTTAACGTCGACTTCTTAAAATCCTTTCGGGAATCCCCGCTGTTCTCTCGCATTCTAGTGAGGAAACAGCAGCAAAGTCATCACGAGAAGCCGAGCATGGAGGCTACAGGGATTCTAGAGGTATGGGTTACCATGGAGGATGTCATAGGAAACGCGGATACTATGTGAAATAGCCGGGAATCCGTGAACCTGAGTGGGTTTCGGAAGATCGTTTAAGGAAACCGATCCCACCCGAACATTTCCTGGCTCTGCTGGGCCACCCTGCAGACATCGTTGGCGTCGGCGGACTCGACGCCACATGATAATGGATACTTGGGCTTCTGTGAGCAGCCGTCTAGGCACGACAAACGCTGGAAGGCTCTTATGTTTTGACTACAAGCGTTCTATGGGCTATTTATTCATCTACAGCTTTGGTCTCTTCAGGCTACAACAGGCTACACATGATGGCCACGAGTCTCTCTATGGATCCCCATTTGGGGCTGGAAACCCTTCCTTGAGGCTTCCCAGGCGCCTTCCACCTTCCCCTGCGAAGCTGATAGCCCAGAGATTCAGATCGGTCCCTATTTTTTTTGTTAGACTACAACGGCTTGCTCAAGCAGACGCTCGGCAACATGCTAAGCGTCGTGGAAGCCCCTAACAGGTCGCGTTTGTATGTGTACATGTGTATGCGTGTGCGTGTGTGTGTGTGTGTGTGTGTGTGTGTGTGTGTGTGTGTGTGTGTGTGTGTGTGTGTGTGTGTGCGTGCGGGTGAGTGGGATAGCACCACGGGCACGCCAGCAACTTCCCCTCACCCAGAGGCCTTAGCTGATCTGCTTCCGTTATATTATCTTGCCTCCGTCTCTCCGGCAGTGGCCTGCTCTGTGCCTGCCCAGCCAAAGCTGGGCGGGCTTGCCAGAGCACCGGCTACCGGGCTGCGGCGGTAGCAACAGCCCTGCCAGCGTCCTTCCTTTGCCCTGTCTATACTACTACTACTACTACTAGCACTACCATTACTAACGGTAAGTGCGCCAATAGGACGGTCCCCGCTGTTGTCTTCCCTGCCTCCTCAGTGACATGCCCTTCCGCTGCCTTGATCTCACCCCCCGGCCCCCGTCCCCAGCACCCGTGGGGGATCTGCGGCTCTCCCTTTCTTTCCGTGTTTTCAAGTATGTTTTATTTCCCATGATTCCGCCTTCACCAGTGTAGGCAACGCGAAAGCTGCGTGGTGACTGTCGCTCGCGCTTCCGCAGCAACACCAGCTGGGGGAGTCCCCCGACAGTCGGCCGATTGGGCCTTCTCGGTCTCTTATCTATTTGTTGGTTCCTGCAGGCAACAGCCGGTGTTTACGCGAAGGGTAGCAAGCACACGCAGCAGCAGCGGCAGCACCAGGAGCAGCCGATTAAGCAGCAGCAAAACACATGCAGCAGCAGAGGAGCACGATGCCCTTTTCGCCACACAGCAGCTCCAGTGGATGCCGCAGTGAATGCCGCGTGCAGAGTTGCACTGCACGGCGAGCAGCACCCGCAACAGGACGGGCGGCACGAGCAGCAGGAGACAGAGAGCAGAACTAGCACATTCCAGATGGACATCGACACACAAGACGTGCAGTTTCTGTCGATGGAGGGGCAGATGTAGCATGGTCTGCCTGCAGTTAGCATAGTAGCCTTCACTTGGCCTTGGTAGGTTTGATGTGAAGCAAGTACAAACGTTCGACAACTGTATTCAGGGGTAAAGCATGCCGTAAAGAAAGCTTTGCTGAAGCCTCCTTGTCTGCACGCGTGAAGTTGGCTTGTATAACAAACCGCAGCGAGGTGCGCGGCTATCCCATTTCAAGCAGCCTCCTCCCCGCAACACCCAGGCCCTGAGCTCAACGCCCAGGAGGCAGGACGACAAGGGAAGGACATCAGCTGCCTTTGGGAAAATTGTTCATCTACTTCTTTACCTACATTGCAATTCGCTTCGGTCCTTGATCAAGGCCAGAGAGCAAGCGTTATGAGCATCGCACCCGTGACCACACTCCCGGAAATTGCTATGAAGTTGGGCAGCTAGGCAACTAGATAAACAGAAGGGACTTCCGCTACGAATTAAATTAGAAAACATCTGAGTAGTTTGATGTTCAATGTTTATAGAAAATCGATTTGAAACAATGTTCTGGGGCTCTGGACCGCAGGACCCGAAGGTCACGGCGGAGACACCCCGGAAGTGGTCACCAGACCCCGCCCGCAACTACGGCGGTACGACGCCCGCTGCCTCCTGACAGGTACGCCTGTCGGTTCTTGCTGAGTGGGGAAACACTCTAACGGTTTACCGTCTGCTTGCGAACATATAATGCAAAAATCAATGGATATATATATATATATATATATATATATATATATATATATATATATATATATATATATATATAGTCACCAGCCACTAATTATACGCGTCCTTCTAGGGGAGCTAGAGGAACAGACGCATTGTAGTGCACACGCATTACACTCGGCCTCATCACCAATTGGCCTGGTTCAGTCCCTTTAGCCAGCGCCTCCAGGCTGCCTGGAACAACTCCATTACAGCCATAAAGGGTAAGCTTTTGAAGATTTTCAATCAAGCCCTCTAAATAACGGCAGCTAGACTAAAATACAGCAAACCACCTTCCAAGTCTAAGCAGCCTGTTGGTAATCCTGTAGTGCTCAGGCAGTACGATGTAGTTGAATTAGATTTTTTAGAGAGAAGATGCAGATTATGGATAGCATATTACATATAGAGTATACTCGTTGCATGTCAAACAGTTTAGCAGCAGTGCCTCAGGACAGATTATCGCACAGCACCCATCAACGGGAAGGAACCGCGAAGGAGGGGCAGGTTACAAGCAGAGAAGCTGGCATACCGGTGACGGGGGACTTCACCCAGGAGCATCCTGGCACGCATAGTCCCATCAGCGAACCAGAACTTTAATGGAACTCGTGCCTCCAGTCGTTCGTTACGCATTGTAACACGCTATATGACACTGTCCGGCCGTGTTAATGGCTCTTTGGCGAAACCCTTTTTGACTCTTCGAGGTCCCATAGTTAGACAGTACCGTTCCTGTAGAACATGGTAAATTCTTGCCTGGTCAGGGAGTACGTTCTCACTCCCTATCCTTCCAGTAAACCTGGAGGTAGCCTGATGAACCCCAGGGTATTTCAATTTTGGGCTCTTCCCGTGTGCTCTTCTCTCTCCCACATCCCTCCCCCACTTTTTCTCGGCGCGTCGGACTGCTTTCTTTCTCGCCCGCGGCGGACTTTACACTCAGCGCAATGGATAGCTCTCTGAGTAACCTTTTCGCTGGCACAGGATATGTCCAGGTGCACATGACAAATTTCGCACCTCTCCTAGCAAACTTCGTCTCCCACGGGCTTAACGAACGTTGATGGTCCCGCATCTTCGGCATTACAGTTACAACCTCTGCGTGTCCAGCCGTTAAGAGGCCACCACCAACCCAGAACTTGGTTTTTCATATTTTAGTACCTCTATTTTTATTTAACTCTTCCCGTACCCATTCAGAGGTGAGCTCTTGATTCCATTCGTTCATATCGCATCGTAGCAAGCTGCATGACCACTGCCGACCGTATCAACTGACTGCAGACGATATCCTCCTTGAATATTCTAGTTTCTATTTATACAAAAACTGGAACAAAAAGGACGAGAAAAGGTATTTTCAGACTTGTGGTTCGGGGTCTAAACAGTGTTGTTTCCAAAAAAGACTAGAGGAACCTTGCTGAACCCCAGGGCGTACGAGCCCACTGCAACTTCTCAGCCTTGCCTTTCCGCAGCCAGAGCTGCTCACATCGAGTTTCTCTACATAAAATTACAGCAATCGTTTCTTCAACAATAGAAACAGCTAACATTGTCTGGCGTTTTTGTTCTCACGGATCCTGTATGGTTCCCGTAGCCCGTCGACGCGTGGTGTTCGACACCGCAAACAGAATGAATACATGTGTGGGATAAGATTGAGGGTTCCGCCACAATTTGCTAACAGGAGATGAACTATTATTTAATGATACGAACGTGAAACCCTTACGTCGTGACTCACGCGGGCGGGTCACCGTCTGCGTTGGGAGAAGGTGGGGGTAGAACTAACCCAAGAGAGGAATCTAGTGAATCGATTGGCTGCTTACATTAATAAAGATGAACTGTTGAAGCAGATATACAAAATTTCCCGTTCTTAAAACTAGAAATCGGGCCTAGCGAAAGGTTGCAAACACGAGTCTACCGCAGGTTACCACGAACGGTAAGCCCAAAGGGTAGACGTTGTTCGAGAGCTGGTCAAAATGATAAACATTGCAGGAAAGTAGCAATCGAATAGATGCTTACCATGTGCGAGAGGAACTCAAACTCGAACAAATATTCCACGTCGGCGAACGACCCCAGGACTGGCTGAATTCAGAAACAAACTATGGCGTGCGCAACAAAAAGCAAAATTCCATCTGTATACTCTGTACTTGAGCTTTCAAGCTCTACTTGCGTCGTTACGGCAATTCAAACAAGTCAGTAGACATGCGCTCCCCTGTGTCGCGCTCAGTGGCGCTAAAGCCGAACGAATGCTCAAATGGCAACTAAGCCAATCTTGTTACGAGAAGAACGAACAACAAGGTTGGCTTAGCAGTCATTTGATACTTCTTTTCCTTTTTGTTACGAGGGTAACCACCAATATAGCATTAAAAGCCCTATACTTTACATCGCCGTCGTGTACTTGGAATCCTTTGTTTGCCGTAGAATCAAACGTAGTTGCCCAAAATATGCAGTGGCTATGCCTCGGTAGTTCCCAGCTCTATCTCAGATGAAGCGAATACTTATCCTGCATCTGTATTGAAGACTATTTTGGCACCGACTATACTGCATGAGTAACCCTAACCGTCAGCGGCAGGCAGAACAAGACTCGCCATCGCAGCAGTAGCGGCAGCGCCAGCAGTCTCTGAGGGTTCGCAGGCTCAGAGGGGCATAAGGATCATGCAACGTGCCGACAGCATAACCCCAACATAAAAGTAAGCAATGTGCTTCTCAGCGATAACACTAACAGCAGATGTTGCTACAACATCTCCAGCAATAGCAGCACCGGCAACAGCAAAAGCCAGCAGCCACTACGCTGGCCAGCACTGGCCACGCTTCGACGTTCTCTTGATATCTCTATATTCGCTGCCGGCCAGGTCCTCGTATATTCTGGAATCTTCTGCAGTTGGAAGTTGGTGATTGATGCTAGCGCCATCATTTGCAACGGGGAGTTGTCGTGCGCACGATCGCCCGCGGAGGCGAAAGCCGCTGATTCGCTGAGATGTGTATAGCACAAGATTCGTGGGTATTTGTTTTTAGAGCCCCACCTGCGCTGTTGACTAGACTGCCAACGTCAAGCTATTTGGGGAATTTTTTTCCTTTATTGCATGCATTGCATCCCGTAATGCTCCCTTGCTGCATTTCTATATCCGTTTTATGCTTTGGCATGCCTAGCAGGATAATTGCTGCCTTGCGCTGGTAGGGGGTTCCAGGAATGCTGTATACTGAGGTGAAATGCGACTCAGTGTGGTCTGCGCTGCAGTCTTGGCGCACCGCAGCAGTATGAACAGATGCCCTATCCTTCTACTTTTCTTCAATATTGAACCGAGACTTGATCGTCAGTTGATCGTGATGTCAATGTTGCAAACCGCCAACCAAAGGGCAACCCAGCCTGTTTATGGTTTGTGTGAATAAAGGAAATACCGAATTTTGTTCCTGGCGTCTTTGGTAGATCCATCCTTCCCTATGCCCAGTTCTGGGGTTCACAGGCACACTTCGCACACGTAAAGTGGTCCCAGGAGCGAACAGCAGTCACAACAGTGGCTGCCTGCATGCCTAATGTCCTGAGCTCTTGCACGTATAATACGCATGATTGATTTGCTTTTTCTCTCGACCGCCTCACTTAACTATAGATGATTCTAGGAGCCAGTATACTCGGCTATGCAGTGATGGCAGTGATGGCAGGTAGCGATACAGTTTCTTGTACCCATCCCACGAATCGTGCCCCGAATCAGTAATCCTACTGGGTGGCTTGGACTGCAAGAAGAACCCCTCGATGGCATGGGTAGCACTTTGCGCAGCAGACGTCACCTTCGACTCTGCAGAATGAGCATACAGCACGATCCCAGTTAAATAACAAGCTAGATGAGCTGCTATTGAGCCTTCGTCAGTAACCTTGAAGTGGAAGCTGCCAAAGGTGGCAACGATTAGACGAAACTGTGTCGGGTGTACAAGTGATAGGAACTGCTTGGCAGCTGCCGCAGCAGTAATTGCCACCTGCGTGTTACCAAACGTCTCACTAACTGCTACTACAATGCTTCCTGGATAGTCAGGTCACCGGATCTCTCGCTACACTTTCTAGGAACAATGTGCTGGAATCTAGGCACAACGTTCGTTGCAGTCATGCAATGAATGTATGCGCTATATATAATTTCACTAGTACTAACTGGTAATTCCGCCGCTATTCTGAGTTTCACTGACTTGAAGAGCAACAATGTACAGAGCATCGAGCGATGTATGTGTATACTCGATCGCCCTCACCTTTTTGGCGACAGTGGCGTTCCCCCATGAAAAGATGGCTACTCGTCCAAAGTTGCGGAGCCGTGACCGCAGACAACACAAGTGATGAGGAAAATTGTGCTGTTCCAGTACCGGGAAAGCAGGCATCGCGGGTGCTCAAAGGCGAGCAGATTGTCTAATCAATCATCAGATTTACTCGTTTGATAGGTCATTCATTTGGCTAAATACAATGTCATCATTTATCCACTCCACCCACAGAGGGTTGTCGAAAATGCAGTGCCTTCTCAAGGTGGTCAGGATCTTTCGCTTTAATTCAATTATAACTGGACTTGGTGGACGCACTCCCGTCCTGTATATAGCCAATGCATCGCGCAAACGATCCGCAAACGTACTTAGTTCTTTGGTAGTAGAGTGGACGGGGTCCCTGTCTCCAATCCAACGATGTGTCGGAAAGCGTTCCGCGAATTGCGACCACCAGCTCCATGCGTTCATTTTATCTGGTAAGAGCTCGATCGTAGATACCAAGTAGTCAAATACCATGAACACGGCCGCCAGCCTTCTAGCAAGATAATACGCATTAGTTCTATTAATGGGGCCGGATAGGTACCGGCAAGCATAGGCAATCAAGTCTTTACAATCATGCATAAGTTGCTCTACATCGTCGGCAGTTAGCGAACTCTTGGCAAATAACCGGCGCATCGAAACGTAATTCTGCATTGGAGACAATGGATGTACTTTGCTTGACAATGCGCCAACCCCATCGAACGTCTTCGTTATCTCCTTGGGAAGCTCCTGTGGAAGCCGAACGAAAGGATGAAGGCGTTCAATTTCTTCACTCCTCCGTCGCTTTGCGGCTGGCTTGCGCGCCAACAGGGCATCGACAGATACTGAAGGCTGTGGTTCATCAACAGCATATCCCTGAGGCTCTCTCTGCTTCACGTTCCCTGTTAGCAGCGCGACTGCTTGCAGCAGTTCTTGATCTGCATGTTCGGCCTCACCCTGCCAGATACCAACGAATGAGCCGTCGCTTGCAGAGCTACCTGCACCCTGACCAGAGATTGTGGATGTCCTTGGAAACACTGAAACACCACTTGCAGAGGTACCTGTTGCAAAACGTGCTAGCTTCATGCCTTCTAGGATATGACGGGGTCTCTGTTCGAATTCTTGGGGGGAAGTTTGTTCTGGACTCTCCGATAACCACGAATCAGGACTTAAACCTTTCTTTGAATCGCCTGATGTATCCCTAGAAAAGGGTGCCATGAAGCTCACACCCGCCTGTGATGCCGATATTTGGGAGTAGTCAGATGAGTCGTCTGCGGCTACTTTCATCCTTTTTGAAGGAACATAATGCAAGTCTGTCGTCCATTCAGAGATTTGCGTATCTTCACGGAGTAACGGTGTATATGGGAGCCCTTCCGCTTGCTGAATTGGACCACTGGCAAGCCATTCATTGGAGAGGCCGCGTGCCCACGCCTGCAACGCCTGTGAAGAGCCCGCTGTCGCGTGTTCAAATGCTGTTGCGGACTCTTGCAACATGAGGAATAACCTAGCCTTCTTAGTTTCTGGCGAATCATAAGGGTGAGAAACATTTTCTTCTAGTCCAAGCTCCTCCCTTAACGCCAAACAATCATCTAAAATCCTGTCAAGCTCGTCCTGTTCTCCACTGTCCGACAATTGCCGTTGAACCAGGCGCGGTGACTTTTCCGTGCTTCGAGGGGCCCTGCAGAATGGAAGCCAAGCAACAATCACCGCAACTGCAACTGTCGACGCCAATATCAAAACAGCGGTGGAGCGCGTGTGGCGGGGCGGTCGTTGTCGTAGTCCAGTCCCTAGCCCAAATCGAGGATCGTCCGAGAGTGCTGCTTCAACGGGGAATACGGCGTCCATTGAACCATACAAGTCGTGGAATAACGAGGAAGTAAATCGATTCTCCGGCGTTCCCGCTTTCCCGATTTTTGCGGGTTTGCCGTACTGGGCCGTTTGTTGTCCCGATGCGGAACGCACTTCCGCATTGAGCCAGCACGCTGCCCAGTTAATACCTGCAGCACGGTGGTTTCACAGGGAGTAAAGCGACTTAGTACATCTAGAAAATTCCCGCGCTTACTTTTTCACAATATTCTGCGTTTCTGCTGGATCAGATCGGGCGGTGGTGTAACAGAATTCAGGCTGTGGTCAAGTCAAGGAAAGGCAGCACTGCGTTGAAATGGAGGTCTAGTTTTGTGCGGGGATGAGTTATTCGATAGAGTCCCTTTCCTTCCCATGCTACAGAATAAACACAGGAAGCCAAGGAACTCAATAAAGTAGCTTACGCTAGGCACATGGCACCCGCCGCCGTTGAGTCCATGTTGTGCCTGGCAACAAGCGTCTAGAGCAAGCTTGTGCCCCAGTGGCATACACTTTCCATTTCCAGCGGGTATATTAATGTGAAAGTTCACAAGCAACAAAACCGCAAATACATTTGAATGAGCGTGAGCAGCCGCGGTAATCGCTTCTTCAGACGGTCAAGCAGTGGAGCGATGTGGCCGTGGGACGATCACGCCCCTCATTGGTGGCGTAAGTCAGAGGACGTCTCGAGGCCTTTCTCACTGGGAGACAGAGATATCGTTATTTGCCACGTTTAAAATCAATATTTTTGCTTTATTTAAATAATATTTTCGTTGGCTGAGTCTTCACCCCTCCCCACTGTACCAAACGACACGGCGTGGCGTAGGCCAGGCGCTGCGACTTCTGCAGTCGGTTGGTGCACTCTACTTGATGCAGGCTCGCTGCTAAAGGCTCAGGAATTTAAAATCTCTACACTGTTAATGAGCGAATCAAAGGGGGCTTGCGCATGTTTACATGTGGCGTCGCCCCGCAGACGGCGTAGCATGGCCTGTTAACAAATTAGAGGTAAACCGTGCAGAACAGACGACGGTACGTGTATTTCTACTTGCCTGTAGGCTGACTTCTGAGGGCCAGATAGGTACTAAACAAAAATCTTACATTGTACATTGTACACAACAAGCGGGGGCTCTGCCTGCATGTGGGGCCGCTTTAAATTAGGTGTGTGTATCGATGATTCTCGATCGAGGGGGAAGACTGTCACTTTAAAGTAAAAGATTCAGTATAGGCGTTTCGCCGCCCAAATATCCTCCCTTCGAGTCTCCGCGTATCCTGGGTACAGCGGCTCAAGGGTCTGTTGCTGCTGCGGAGAGGAAGCGGCCGGTCGTAAGTTGGCGGACACCTTGCTGCAGCTCCTGCTGCAGGGCAACGCAACGTACAAGAAAAAGTGAATCCTTCTTCGCTGCACGCACGAATATAGTGGACAACTACTAAACGCTTACTTGGCTCCCAACTATTAAACACTTACTTGGCCCTCAATGGCCAACCTGCACGCATGCAGAAATATAGACAGTTTCAGTCACGCCGCGGTGCATTACGCGCATTTCTACTTGCGCACGCGTTGGTTACTGAGACCCAGGTAAGTGCTCAACAGTTCTCTGGAGTGTTGGCGCGCATGCGTCAAGAGGATGCTTGGCTATGTTTGCATATGGGGTTGAATGCTTGCATATTGCCTCAGAGCAGCAGAGCAGGAGTTGCAACACTCCTCGTTGCAACACAAGAGGGAGCCTTCTGTCCGTACCAGTGTTCATCTGTTCCCAGAACGTCTCAAAGGAGGGGTGGAGGCATGTGTATTTTGTTGTATCTTCATCCTGATCATTTAGACTTTGCTGGAGCCCACCAGGGTCGTCGGCCGAAAGGAAGGACCTCCGTTTCCTTAAAACCGCGGCTGTATCAGACAATCACGGTTTTAATAGTAGGATAATCACCAGTTATTGCAAGAAGGCTCCACTGACTGGTATTTTTCCTTTTATTGGTGCCACTTTTGGTTGCTTGGCGCAGCATACTCTGAAGCGACTCTGCTGAGAAGCTCCAACGGACTTGAAAATTTTATCTTCAGATATTTCAGAAAGAAGTTTAAGACCCACAGGGAAGCGGAAAGAAGGAGCAGGGTGGGCCATTTGCAGTTGGTGCGACTCTGCACCAATTGCTTGAATTGCTAGTTGTAGCATGGTCTGCCTGCGCTTAGCGCAGAAGCCTCCACTTGGCCTTGGTAGGTTGCGTGTAAAGCAAATACAAACTTTCCATAAGTGCATTCAGAGGTAAAACATGCAGTAAAGGAAGCCTCTATGGGGCTTCCGTGAAAATGGCCTGTATCCCCAACCCCAGCGAGGCGCGTTGCAACACCATTTCAGGCAGTCTCCTCCCGCAACACCTCGGCCCTGAGCTCAACACCCAGGAGGCCGGATAACAGGGGAAGAAGGCCAATTGCTTTTGGGAAACTCTTACTTTAAATCCTTTACCTACATTGCAGATCGCTTCTGTCCTTGATGAAGGCCAGAGAGCAAGCGCCATACTAGTCGTTAAAAGGGGGAGGTCTTCCGTAACAAGCGTTCACGCCTGCCAAAATTTACAATTTTAGTTGAGCTTAGACTCTCAGGACAACTCGGTTTGTTGGTTTTCAAGGCCTATGACCAGAGACAAGGTCGGGGTTTCTGTTCGATCGATTCGCTGGTAGCCCCCTAGGAAGACGGGATGCAGGATGCAGGGTAGAGCTGGGCCTTCTGGGCACCCTGCGTAGTTCTCGCACACACATGAGAATATGCCCCTAAAACGATGCACTTAACTTAATACAGCGTTTTAACGCGTGTTGAATTAAAACATTTCACCCGTGAGCATAGAGGACCTTCCTGTTTGCTCAGCGGAGCGCTGCGCGTTAACACACCAACTGTAATGCACAGGCACTACAGTGGAGCTCAAGTGAAACCTTCAGAGACCTCGTTAGATGTTTCAATACTAATAGAGATAAATGGTGATACTTTAGGTAGAAATTTAAGATAACCAAATCAAGAATGGTCGGCAGCCACACCAGCTTAGGCCTGGTGGGAGACTGATGCTGCGCTTGAGACACTGACTTCACAGTCAGCGAGAGATTTATGATTCTCGGATTTCCTTTTCAAGACTATTGGGCTCGAATATGTTTTAAGGAAAATCACACGAATATTTAGATCACAATAATATAGATAGGCTGTGTTTGGTGTATAGATGTAGAGTTTCCATCCAGTTAGGTTGATCCATGATATATACGTAGTAACAGCACAGTCCGCTGTTCACTACACCGACCCCTGCAGCCCCAGCATTGCTCTGTGCCTTGCCCTTTGGGGGGTTAAGCCTAACCTTCCTACATACTCCTGAAACAGCATATAATCTGCATATTTTCTTCCACTATATGCGTATAGTTGGCTCTTTTACTTCTGCACCGAGCACGTTATAGTGCCATCCGTTTGCTGTACCGAAGGGCGTGCAATCACCGATAGCCTATTCACCCTCACCGTGCTCCTAGTTGCGTGAAGAGGATAACCATTAATCCTTATTTTTGGCATATTCATCAGCTGTTCCTCTACGGGAAACGCTTAAAGTGTTCTGAACCGTGGACCCATCAGACAACCCGTTTTAAGCAGTGTCCAGCCTTCTCCTCCATGGTCGCGTCAAAGAGCGATATGTTGCCTCAAATTTCGAAGTCACATTGAGGGTTCTGTATTAAGCGGCAAGGAATGGACGGGATATTGAGCGTCTTCTGTCGATGACTCAGGAACTCCCACCGAAAGAAGACATGAACCTCTCAACTCCTCTGATTTCATGAGCAGAAGAAGCAGGTATGGAGACGGGAGTAGTTGAAGACAGAAACCAGGTGATCCAGGAGCTGTTCTCGGGATTGCATCGTGTTAATCGGAAGGCCAAAATGGTAAGCCGTTATCTGCCGTACATTGTGTAAGCTTTCACTGCGTCACTTGCCAAACCGGCACTTTGGAGATGGAACATGAACTGCACTTCTGGCTATGTGAGGGCTTTGGAAATGTGTGAACGCATTTTGCCTTGGAATAATGAGAACAGTCTTTGCGTATCTTGTGACTTCAGGTGCTCGAGCTGCTAGGTTTCAGGTCGGCTGCCGCTTTGCCAGAGCACCTTCATGCAGCAGTGTTGCAGGTGCTCCTTATGGGGCCCGTCGTCGGCCCCTTCTGCCGGCGATCGCTTTTACCGCTCGAAACTCGGGGAGCAGCGGCCGAGCCACTCCCGCTGAGGAGTGAGGGATGTGTTATTCAGTGCCTCTTTGCTGATTGGCTCACAAAGACCAGCAAATGGCTCAAAGTGCCTCGCTATCGTTACGTCATGCTTCTTTCAGTTGCACCTACGCCTGAACAGGAGGAAGGGCGACAACCGATAACGAGGAACAACAGCACGAGCAAGCCGACCGCGTCGGTTGCGGAAGAAATTCCTCAAGCACAGGGCGAACAGACTGAATTCGCCGGATTAAAGCAAAAGAAAAGGCACTGCCCTCAGTTGCTTCTTGTCACATTTAAGGCCCCCCAGGGGCCCCTCAGCAACAGCGGTCATGAGTCCGTTGACTTCAACGTCTTGCAAAAGGCTGAGCCATCCGAGGTCTTTTCTATCGACAGTACTCACGTAAGTTCCATTATGCTTCACCTTCAGGACTACCGCACTTTACCAGCGCAGGTCACTGTATTGGGCAAAGCATTTACAGGTGTGCCTACATCCATAACGTACATTGGTGTGCACCTGCATGTCTGCGCTTCCGTGGCGTTTCAGAGAGCTCTGTGCCAGCGCATCCCATGTGGAGAGGACACTCAGCTTGTCTTGGTGAGTCTGATCAACAGCAGAAACCGGGTATTTTGGATACACGGAAATTGTCTACAGTTTGCGTATCAGCATGTTTCCCCCCTTTTCCTGCATCACGCAGGCTAACGCATAGCGCCGTTATGTGTGTTTGGTCTCTTAACTTCTTCCTCAGGTTGTTGAAGGTTTGGGCGGCCGGCTTCTTATCTTGGGGGAGTTTTCTCGCTCTGCAGCATCGCTGTCTGGTACCACAGGCGTTCAGGTTTCTGGATCGTCTCCACTGGAACAGCTTGCGCATATTATAAACGAAGCAGCCCCCCTCTGTGCTGCCCCAAGGCCTTCTCGATGGCGCAGACTTTTGCAGCTCTTTGCTGCCACAGCAACAGCCGTAGATTTAGGGGAATCAACAGCCATTCCGGCGTTTCGAGGCAATAGTGCGAAGCAATGCGGAAGAGCGAACGAGGCACACCGTGAAACCGAAAGCACAACCGGATGCTGGCAGGTGAACTGCTCATCCTCTAAAGAAGCATCTGCGGCGCGTGAGGAGCAGCAAACCGTTTCTCTGGTAGCTCTGCTCCTTCGATTCTCGGTCGCTGCTTGCTTCGCCATCTGCCGACCATTGACACTTGTGATGAGGCATTGTTCCTCCCGCTCTGCAACGCCACGGCGACCTCGCGCAGGAAGAGGCACAGCTGCAGCACCAGACATGCCAAGAGGTGGTTGCAACAACTGTGGCTTGGATCCAAACAGCCTTAACAGCATTCACTGCACCAAACACGGCCATTCATGTGCCTGCGCACGTCGTGCGCAGTGCACCAGAATTAGCAGTGGCCAACGTATTTCAAGCCCGTGTGTAGCGCGCCCTCAGCGCACGTTGAGGCAGCTTATTGATGACCAACAACGCACTTTAGCGACTCTTGCAGTGCGGGAATACCGTCGCAAAGTTGCATTGGTGCAGCATGAGTACCAGATGTCGCGCCAGCACGCTTCGAGGGCCCTGATGGACGAGCATGGGCAGCTGTTTCCCCAGGTACATCCGCAGTCTTAGCAAGCGTTATCCTCTATGTGGCGTATAGATTGCCTCTCTCCTTCCAGAGTCTGTATGCCCTTCATGTGTTCGTTCTAACTGCATTGTTTCCATGCGACTGCGTTCAATTTCAGGCCCGCCGCTGGTTGGATTCAACTGACGGGAAGCTGCTAATGCTATGCCTTACGGGCCGCAGTTGGAGGCCAACAGCCGGCCCGCGTAGCTAGTTGTGAAAGTGGAGTTTCGTGGAGTAATTGGATCAATTTTTAGTCGTTGGGAAATCGGGAGGTCAGCAATGCAATTATCCACTGGCCTTCGTCATTTTCCACCCGCCCGTGTTCTTTCAATACGGGATCGCGCATTTGCACTTCCGGAAGGGAAGAGCTTTGTGTGCGATCAATTGAGTTTACCGTATGCTCGCAGTTCACATTGGCAAGAAACAGGCGTCGACTGGCAGTCGGGACCCTCGTAGGGGGCCGGGTGACTCAGCTCGACCTTGGCTTCTCAGTACTGTGACTTTTTTAGTTTGGCGAATGAAAATTGCCGTCAATCTCTGGATTTTGGTCAGGCGCACTGTGAAGTTGTCTCCACAAATCTCCGCGGGTTTCTCGTGTCAGACAGCCAAATGTCGTCAGTGCATATCACTGTACTCAGCTAACCAAAAGTTGCGAATGATGGCATAATATATCAGCGTTCTTAGAACAGAACAATGGTCAAGAGCTTGTGTCATGAAACTAATGAGTTAAACGCAGCTTCAGCTTGACCCCATTGGACATGGTGCTCATTGAAAGCCCGCTGGCAGGTGTTCCTAACAGTTACAGGGTCAGCCGAATGCTTTTTGGCGGTGGCTCAATGAGATGCCGCTTCTACCTCGAGTCACCCTAAGCCGAACAGCAGATGTAACCTATAACGTTTTGAGGCGCACATATACTTCTAATACTAAAGGCAAAGACTCCTGGGCTTGCTTAATTGGTAGAGTAAAAAACTTTCGCCAGCAGTTTTCTCCCGCTCGTTACACAATAAACGATCATTCGGAGACATGCAGCCATAGAGTGTAGTGACAGTTTGAACCGAGCTAACGCAAAGGACACATGACTCGGGAATAAAAACAGGAAGACAACACGCCCTCAGCATTCAGCATGGACAGTGTCATCGTTGCAGGATTCGCCATTTGAACGAGTGCGCTGAGCAAATTTCGGCAGTCACGGGATACACCGAAACGCACAACTTTTCTACCCCCCGGCAGTCTACAGCTTGGGCTCGTATCGGTAACTACACTGTTTAGATGCGACAACAAATGTGTTTTCAAAGCTGCTATCTCGAACAAAAAGGACAGAGCAGTAATCCTTTTCGTGTCCTTCCGTCGATTCGCCTGGGTTCATACCTTTTCGCACCATCCCTGTTCCCGGCCTCGCCTTAAGCGTTCGTAGAAGGAGACAAGCAAGGGCGGTGGTCCACGAGACGAACTGAAAGCCTTGAGTATCATCCCCAATAGAAGAAATAGCGTGTTTTCTTACGTGCCGCAGTATGTGGCCACGGATGCCTGTGGCGGGAGCTCGCCGAACGCCACACGNCGGGAGCTCGCCGAACGCCACACGCTCCGCCTCGATTTCGGTAATGCCTTCGCAGAAGAAAGTTTGTCCACCTCAGCTTGCAAATACTATAACATACACGGAAAGAACTTCATGTGTCACTAACTGACAGTAGAAGTTGGGTCGTTCCCAAGCCTTTGCACTCAGGCGACGTTGAACGAACCCGTACGGCCGCACAATTTCTGCCGCTTTCTCACCCTGAAAGAAACTCGCAGAGTGAATACACCAGAGACACTAACACCATATCCAATGTTGGAAAGAATTCCAGCAAACATATCTTCCTCTTGCAGTAATCGCTTCACAGGGTTCGAGCTCAGGTGACCCAGTCCGCTGGCCCTGTTCGGTGGGCCCTCTGAAATAGGCATACACTCCGTGGAAATGCATCCGATACATACCTATTTTGTTGTATTAATCTTGTTCAGAGTTGCCTCTGTGAGTGTTGTTGCTTGTCTTCATTCCGAAGTGATCGCATCTGTCGCTGGACAGAGCCGTCCTCAACGGGGCTGGCTGGAGAAAGCAAACTTTGCATGCTAGTGCTCCCTACCATGACCAATCATGCAGCAGACGAGAATCTTTTTTCCCGCATTCATTAGAGCAACAACTTGCAATGAAGGCTAGCGCAGGAAGAGCAGCGAAGCTCCGTAATTATGCGCGGGCCTGTAGCTTACTGTTGAGACATCCCAGCAGTCAGTAAGCTCTCTCCTGTGGAACAACTGCGATGAGACCCGAGGCAACAAAAAGTCGGGGCGACCGTACTGATCTGCAAAAGGACGAGTTGCCCTTACGCCAAAATGGGTTCCGTAAACAGAGGCCACAAACGGGCACAACTCGCACTTACACGCATCCGGAAAGGCCATGGAGCAGCAAATCACAAAGGGATATATCGAGTGCATATTGTTTCAAGGAGAAAACAGCACATCATGTAGAAGCTCTGAACGGGGCTAGAAAATCGCGGAATGATAAGTTTGAATCTCGGTTCACCTTTTCGCATAGTGACGCCAAATACTACACAGAATTGCCTGTTCAACCCGCAACAGGATGGTGGAAAGCCCTAATCGCTTACCGGCGTCAATCGGCAGCGTTCCTAGATCGGTTGTGCAAGAATCTGGACATTTTGATTCCCGACACAATGTACGCTTCATCTACAGAATGTTACTACATAACGAACAATCCCCAGGCCCTTAGTCCGGGCACCTCTTACTCCCAACAGCTTTCTCTTCCTGAAAAAGCCTGTAATGGCTGGATAATAAAAGAAGATTTCTCTGCATCTAAGCTCTTCGAGAAAAATGCTGGACTGTATTTGGCCTCTTCCGGGTTTCCTGGAGGCAAAATGAGGCTGCGTCATAGTGCTCAACTGCAACGCAAGGATCAGAGGCGTACTATTGAAACTGCGATGGCAGCTCCAGCGGCTCTAGTTAAGCAGCCTCACTACGCAGCGGCAAATAGAAACATTACGAAAGCACTCGATCTTCCCAGCACGTCTTCTCTTCTAGCAGACTCCTCCTCAGAGCGTCTTATGCAAGTGCGTCATCACTAGGCACGACGCCCTCCGCAGCACCACATCACGTCTTACGTTGGTCATCCGTTGATGAACTGTACCAAATTTCACAGTGGTGCACTTTCCACCTGCCACAGCCCGATAGGCCTGCAATTCTCGCGTATGTTCGTTGCACGTGCCACACACGGTATTGGGTGCCGCTGTGTCCGTGCTGAATTTAATGCAGTGACACTTTGCGCAACCAGGATCGTGCGTGGTTCTTGAAGGTCTTTATTCATGGGAAGAAACATTCGCGATGCCAGTTGACGCGGGCAGCTTGGCGGGCAGGCAGTACTCCTGTTGGCTTCACTTTGGTCAACAAGCTGACTCCGGAGGAGGGTCGGGAGGCCAATTTAGACATTACTGGACAGTTCTGTGTCAGCTGCGATAACGCATTTCCTGTTCGGAGGCCGCGCGACGCAGAGTACGCGAATGGGGAAAGTCTGGACGCTGACTCAACGAAGCAAGTGATCGGGGGGCCCAACAGCACATTTGATGTGTTTTGTTTGTCTGGGGCAAGTCTAGCTGAAGCCTCTGAGATCGCTCGGAAGCTGACGCTACTGACTCAGACAGTCTTCAAGGTTTGGCTGGAGTCATTGGTTGTGGACCTCATCAAGGCCTGGAACGGCAAAATGTATTTCTTGCAGGTGCGTTAGTGAGCTTGTGTAGCACACACTTCTTCTGAGTCAAACGGCAAATATGGAAAAACCTGCATAGTTACAAGGTTGCTGCGAAGCATCCAAACTGCACAGGTCAAATCCTTCACATTGAGACGGTCTGGCCCACGCGTAGATTGTGTACTGAAGTTAGACGCTAACAAGAGGGATGAGGACGATGAGCCACTTGACGGGGCCTTGAAGGCTAGGGCTGCTCTGCTCCGGAGACAGCAGGCCTCCCTAGCCCAGCCATCAGTTTGCGCGATGTGTGGACTGAGCCGGAGCAAGAAGTCACTAAACCGCATGCTGAATCACCGGATGATGCTGGAGGCTCAGCACCATATGCGCAAAAGGGGAGTGGAAATACTGTTTTTCCACCAGGCTAGAAAGCAACAGCTCTCAGCTGAGTCTCCCGTCTGTGGTACTTGTTACTCACTGTACTTAGCCGAGAAGGAGCTAATCCAGCTCGAGGCAGAGCTAGCCAGGGAAACTGGGCAGCAAATCAGTGCCGAGGCTGCAAAGCTTTGCTTCGTGACCGGGATCCTCGATGCCATTCAAGTAAGTTAGGGAGTGGCTCCTGTTGTGTACTCGATTGGCTTCGTAGTGGTTTAAACAAGTATAAACATCCACGCCGCCAGAGAAATATACGAATTGCCTTCTTATTTTATCTGTATTTTGTACCAGGGGAGCTTCTTAATGAAGGACCCCGATCTGTTAGAATTACTTCAAGCCTTCGACAACTCCTGTCAGAGCACAGAGGGAGATGCCGCCGGAGGTGGGCCCGTTGATGAGCTAACAGAAGACGTACCAGAATCCACAAATGACCCAATGGACGACGGAATTCTCGTAACTCTACAGAAGCACGGGAGCAATGCTGAGAATGATTTTCTTTCGGGAAGGCAAGATTCCGATGTTCCGGTTACAAGAGATGCGCAAGGGGGCTTAATTGTATTCCGTGGGGGTGAAGCTATCCAGTCAGTGCCGGCTCCTCAACCCTACGACATTATGCTCCCGGCAGCACTGCATCAATGGCGTCTCATGCTGTTCCTAGATTCGCTCCAGGATCCCCCTGCCTCGCATGGCACAGGAAAGCAGAAACCTTACTTGTTACAGCTAGGTCTCTTCGGGACCACATCCCCAGTGCACCTGCCCGGCCCAGACGAGCGGGGCGTCGTGCGAATCCGTCGAATGCTGATATTTTATCTCTTTTCAAAAAGTCCGATTGTCACGGAGGCCTTCAAGGAAGAATTGCACTTCTCCTTACGGCCTAGCGGCACTGCAAGCGTCACAAACCGCCCCACCAAAGTCGCGGAAGGCAGAGCCCAGTCCGCTGGAGCCCAGCGGTTACCCATGTTTCAAACGGCAGCTAAGAGTAGATGGTCATGCACTGGCGCTTCAGAGTCGTGCGAGCAGCCCACTGCAGTGGGCAGCTGCTCTCTGGGTCGGTTGGCGGGAAAAAGGAGTGTCAAAAACCAGACTTGTGTCCTGCTTTTCGAAGGAAGCACCGGGAAGTGCAGACTCGGAATTACTCTAGGCTTGCACAGGGATATGCAGGTTCCGACTCAGTATGTCTCTGTCGTTCCATTTCGTGACGCGTTCCTATCCCAAACCCCGTACTGTTGTTCCTGCCCTCTCCCAACGGAGTGGCTGGACTGCTTCATGGCAGCAACAGAAACTTGAATCTGCAAAAGGGATGCAGGCTCCATCCCGAATGCTTTTTTTTTTTTTTTTNTTTTTTTTTTTTTTTTCTAGCGCACATCCATATGTCTACGCAGTCAAACCAGCAGCAGAGCTAGATGCCTTCAAGGCAGCTGGCGTTACATGTGTGGAATTGAGAAGTACGCTCGGATCGCAGGCAGTCCTCCTCGCAGTGGTCATGAAAGCATTCATTGCTCCCACATTCACCTCTCAAATAACAAGAATACCTCCATTAGCAAGTAAAACCCAAAACATATTAGGGTTTGGCCGCTGCTGCACCAAAGCCAAGGCAGTCCACTAGGACGTATGCACGTTTCCATATGAAAAAAGAAACAATCTTGAACGTAATTGAGGGCGAGGCAAGATGAGAGCCGCCACACAACCACGCATGAGCTACGCTAGCCCATACGATTGATTCGCCAGGGCGAAACGTCGGGGAAAATCTCCCCTAAATCAGCCATATACTTCCGTACCTTCGAGACTTCACTCTACACGAGAACCATTGGCAGGATGAAGCGAGCGGAGCTTGCGTTCAAACAATGGTCCTGGGAGCTGTTTAGCCCAAACGATGGCTGAAAGACCACCGCCAGCAACAATGCCTCCGCGCAACACAGTTGAACTTCAGGTGAGGGCTGCAACGACGTGCCAAAGCAACACGAAGTCATGCTGTAGTGCGCTGATCAGCAGTAGCCGGCGCCGTAGCCGCTGCTTGCCTTCCGGCTAACTTCCTGTTCGCCGTCGCCACAAGCACCTCGAACTGTTTCTGCTTCTCACTTAGCATCCTTTCTAGCTTTCTATGCTGCTCTGTTACAAGATTCAACGTCCTGAACAGCACCACCAAGACAAGCAACGCAAAACCACAATATAGAGGAGCGCTGACGGCCCACACCAACTGGCGTGCCGCAACGCCTACCACACACCGGCAGAATTTACCTTTCTCCGTCTTTCTTGGCATCTTTGCATGTTTTTTGGAGCATGTATCCTGCACCGATATCGACTAGAACCTTATCGTCGCACTGTAGTCGGCCCTGCACAGCAGTAAGAAGCAGTGTTGCGGTATCCCTAAGTTTGCACAGAAAGCCTGCTCCCCTGACAAATTCAACGTTTAAGAGAGCTTCTGAGGGCGACATAGGTATGCGCGCCATGGAAATGCTTTATTTTGGTACCTTCGCGTAGAGAGAACTAGTCAGAGGCACGAGAATTTCGGATGGTTCCCCTTTTTGCTTTTCTATGTGGGAATCCAGCTGCGTGAGCGCGTCGCGACACTCAGCGAGGCGAGCTGCGGCCACTCGCAGTTGAGATAGATGGTTTGATATGTTTTGAATTTCCTGAGGAGAACAAATAAAGTATTCCTTGGACGGGGAACTAGAGGGTTGGTGTGGGGCACAGCATAAATACAGATTCCCCTAATAAACTACGATATCGAACTTCCAAAAAAGACGAAAACCAGACAAAATGCCATGTTAATACACGGTAAGTTTGCGTGTATGAGGAATATGTCTGAGAGTGGTGTCGCAGTGTCCACACAACTGCGACGGACACCAGGTTCATCTAGTCACCCACCGCTTCCGTACTCTTCACAAGTGCGCTGCACTGGTTCAGAGTCAGGTTGTTTAAGTTTGCGATGTGTTGTTCGACGGTGTCAGCGGGAGGAGCTGCCATCTCTGCAACGCACACGCGTGGCAAACCTACGAATTGGACAATCAGATCCCACGGCTCCCTACACTCCCCAACTAGGCTAGATCAAATGATGCACATGGATATGATGAGTACATCGTGATTTCGTTGCCCTACTTGCACGCACAGAACGAACGCGGCTTTTCATGCACACACGGTGGAGGGTCACCCCCCCAAGACAGCTGCTGACTTGTCTACGGAGCCTTTATACTGTGAAACCTGAAATACCGGACACTCTGTAGGCATAAGGGGTTATCTTGAAGTTTTTTCTAGAGGGAGCCTGCACCAAAACCCACTGCCTTTGGCCCATGAAGAAGAATAGGGGGCGCGCTGACAATCTGCTGACGAAACCAAGGCCGGCGCTCTGTAGTGATTTCAACTCCGCAAATCTATAAGAACTACTCTTCGATATGTTATTACATACAACAGTGGGGTACTCACCAGAGGCTCTGCCCAGCGTTGCACTCTAAATCGGTTAGGGCTGCATGCGGACTGTGCACAGCTCGGCTCTAAGGAAATCGGCTTGCCTGCTGATCTCGGTAGTAACTTTAACTGCATTTTAAAAAGTTATATCGGAAGTTGCGAAGTTCCTCCTCAACAGCCACTGTACGCTCACTCTTCTGGGCGGCGCGGGGGAACGAAAGTGCAGCGCTACTTCGCTCATGAGTGGCCTCTTCAACCAGCATTGAGAAACAACTTCTCTTGTGAATTCTATAGGAGGAATCGAGTCTAGTTGCCTTGAACAGAGGCGGGCCAATCAATCACTTGAGCCGAGGGGGTTGGCTTAGTAAACCGTGCAGAGTCGATAACCTTACGCTATGGATGCGGCGTCGCTTTAGGGAATTCCTTCCCGATGGGATTTACCCTTGTTAATAATTATCCGTCGACACGTTTCCTTTGAATGAAGGGGCGGCCCTAGGGCAGTCCCAGCGTGCGTGCTGCACTCCTCGCCGTGATTCGACCGCAAACAATGGACAAATCCGTGCTGGACTTGGAGGAGATTCTGGGGCCCCGCGATGAGCAGCTTCTGCAGAAATTATCGGCTCACGAGCCTGCAGTAGGCGCTGTTCTTGAATAATGGGCTCGGTTTTCGGCAGTTGCACTAGTGGATTCCTGGTATATTTCTGCTGGGCATTCACGTGTGTGCGGTGCCTTGCGTCTACTGTTGGTTCCTCAGATACTTGACGAAGTCGTGAATTACCATCTTGCTCGTGTAGGGTGCACCACAACGGACACTGCAGCGTAAGCAGGCACCGACCCACCCAGGACTTGCGCATGCCATCAGCCGTTTAAGCATTTTTCATTTCAGTTTTTGTGCACTTTCCATTGTTTCCTTTGCTTCAGGACACGCCTACTATCGGTAGCTGTCCAAGTTGTGTTTGAGAAAGCGATCGATGAAGCAAAGTTGATACATGCAACATCGCGAGGCGACGTTTCATCCGGCAGCCGTCGGACAGATGGAGCCAGTGGCGCCCAGGGTCGCGCTACTCATCGCAGATATGGTCATCTGGAGGATTCTACGGCCACAGCCATAGGGTCAACATCAGCACTCAGTGAGGTACGGTTAGCTATCAGCTCGGCCAACACCTCGTCCTCTGTACGCTGGGGCTGTCGACAGCTATCGCTTGGGCAGCCCGTGGTCCGCTGGCTAATGTGAACTCCACAAGATTGTTCGGTATGAATACGCACGGACTACTGGCGTCTCTTTATTTCTCAGGTAAAGGAGCTGGACGTTGAATCTCTGTGCAAGGCGCTGCAAAGAAATGGCACACTGCCAGTGGGACCTACCTTTGACTTACTACTACAGCCCCTTGGACAAGAAAAAGGAAAACTCAGTTCTTGATTACCGTTGCAGACCTCTCGGCCGGAGGTCCAGCTATATCCATTTGCTTGAACTTTACTTCAATTGTAAACGTTTACGCTTTTCTGCATTTGCAACGACCTTGTCGTCCAACATGTATGAGCCCCTGTGCCAGGCTGCTTCGTCGCGACCCAGGTGGTACGGGGGCAATGTAGTTCTGTGCAGGAACAAATGCGACAGGAAGACTCACTGCTTCCGGTGTCGTTCATTATTCCTCTGCAAACAGGAGAGCTCCAGTTTCCCCAGTTTGTTGGTTAGATATGGCATACGCAGGTCTGCACCTCCAAGCGGGACCGTGCCACACTCTGCGGTATTAAACATTCATTAACAGATATCTGGACAGCGGTCAGCAGCTCTATCAGCACTCTGGCTGTCTTCCGTTAGGAGGCGGTTCGTTTTTGGGAGTGTTTCCCGGCTTATCCGAGTGCAGTTGAGAGCAGTTCTTTAGAATATTTTCAGTGCGCAGCAGTGCAGCATCACGTGACCGCATAATGCCTACCTCCCTCTGTAGCAGACGCGCGCCTACACTGCGTCGCTTAACTAGCTGCATACTGTTAGTCGTGCTGGCATATTGCTTTCCAGTGACCAAGTAGTGCACAACGAGGGGAGGGCCGAACCAGTTGTACGCCATGCGGGCGTTGCACGTGCAACAGGAGGTACTCGTTGGGCCACCAGGATGGTCACTGTGTCTCCAGCATGTACTGCTTGCACATTTAGTGCCTTTGATGGAGTGAACAGATAACCCACCGGACATTCCGTGATGAGTCCCACCTAAGGTTGAATTAAAACTCCCTTCGTCCTTCTGCAGGATGAGAGCTATTCCGTTACACATGGCAGTCATAGTCGTCCGCCTCCAAAGGATGAAGTGATACGCACGCTAACCGACTTCAGTGGCTGCGCTTATACACATTTTTCACGGTCTAGTTGTGTCAATAGTGTCCACTTGATTCACTCCGCTTGTGTTCCAGTGGTGCTCGCGTCTGTAGTGAACTGATTATCCACTGGAGCAGCAACAGGGGATGATCGGTGCTTAATTGCAGATATATGAAAACGTGAAGTCCTGCTACGTATATTACTGGCCCCTGCGTAAGAATGGATTGCATTCGTAATTGCAGCAGTAGGGCGTCAACCAGTGGTACACTGTGGTTCAGGCTGGAGAGATACGGTGGTGTACAGCCCTCCGCCCCATTCGCTAGCAACGGTCTAGCGGTACTTTTTACTAATATACAAATGTAATGAAACTATATTTCATCAGGAAATATGAATAAAACAACAACGCGAAGTACCAAGCAGCTGCGACCACCGAAACGGGCCAGTGCCTGGGGGCCACGGTGGCGGAGACACGTGCATACATGCGTTTAGCCGAGATCTATATAGTACAGCTTGTGATTTAAAACCATTTTCACTGCAATTCCTTTATAGAGGCAAGGTGCTGCTTTGTTCCTGAAGGGGGGAAATCTACGGACTTGAATCTCTCCTCATGCCCGAGGGGGCCCTGGACGGCCCGCCAGTTGATCTACAGGAGGATCGCCACTCCTTTCAGCATGAACCAACCGCATTGTTTTTACAGGAAGAAGCATATTTCCCGAAATGGGACCAGGTAGAGCAGCCTGTGCAATTATTTTTGCCTTGGCGCTGTCGCTGTCTCGTGGCCTTGCATACAGTCGGCAGCGTCGCTTCATCTTGCCAGGCACTGGCTTGAAAGTTCAGCGATTGTCGAGGCAGGATTCTCCAGTCCTCGATGTTCTGGGGCAGGAATCTTCTATCCTTGAGGCTTCAAGCGCAAAATGGAGTTCTCCCGATTCATCTGGAGATGCCACATGGCTCCAGGAGACTGACGAGAACAATCGCACGACAGGCAGTAGTCTTCCGAGTGTTCATGGTAGGTGCACGCAGTATCCATCATGCTTGACCGCAGCTCAAATGGACATGCTTACACGAAGGTGATGCCCAAGTTGTTTTCCATCCGCCCGCCTCCCGTTCACAGAACTGCGCTGGCACCTGCTGCTGCTGCTGTGCGCAGATGCACTGTGGGATAAGAGGGGAGAGAGCATATCTGCATCCTTGGTGCAATTTGGCTTCTCTCCCCTAGATGACACAGCTTTGGCCCTGTACCACAAGGTATTCAGGGAATCCATTCAAGGGACAGCAAAACCCGGTATGTTAAGACCCTTATTTGTACGGAAGTTGCAACGACACTCTATCAGGCTCAACTGGGGATGCCCCAGAAGGCGACGTACACAAAGCTAAACAAAGTTTTCCCCAATCTGCAAGAATATTTTGTCCGCATTGACCTTGCCTCAGGCTTCAACTACGTCCGGACGCACTCCGCACTGAGGTCTCTTGCAGTGACGAACCTCATCATAGGGAGTTTGCTGCCTGAGCTTGATAAGAAGCGGGAATTCATAAGGAAGATTGAAAACGTCGTTAAAAAAAGTAACTGCCGAATTACCAGCCCACCTAGCTAACAGAAGTTTGTAAAAAGATCACCTGCTGCGGGTTTGCAGGACCCAGGCAAACGGTGAGCATGTTCGACGAACTTGTGTGCTGCTACGCAGCGGCTCCAAAGGATGAAACTCAGGAGGAAGCAGAAGTCAAAAAAGTGGTGAAGGTGCTAAAACAATTGTCAGGAGCCTCCGCTGGAAGGATACGTAACGACAGTAGGGTAATGGCAGCGATCCACCACATAATATGCAATGTGCGAGAAGGGAAAAGTGAGTTCAGCTCAAATCCAAGCGTTATGGACAGCCTCCGCAGCCGCTTTCGCCTGCTGTCAATTCTGAGTTTTGTGGTGTGTATACAAAGTTCACACGTAGCGTATGCATATTAACCACTATATATAGTAAATTCGTCCTCAACAATGTGGTGCAACTGCTTGCAGGGAGCGGATTTGCGGGACTGTTCGAGTCCTTAGCCTCCGAATCAATTTTTACCATTGCCCACAGCATCCTCCACACCGGAGCAAGCCTAGGTTTTTCGTTCCAGCCCATGCTGACCTCAGGGCTGAGGCTTGTCCAAGGTTGTGTTAGAATGGCTATGACGATTCAGAGTTTGGCGGGGCCCGCCCTGCTCTTACCTGGCGGAGTCGTGGGAACTGTTCTTAAGCACTTTATCCGGGCCTTTAACCTCATTTTTTTCCCACCGCTGTTGGCTGTCACTGGGGGCCTTGCCGGAGCAATGGGTGTGGCTTGCTTATTGGGGGTGCCAACACTCTTTTCCGAAATCTACAAGTTTGTAAGCACCAAGGTTCTAAAGGGTGTAACCGCCGTCTACAAACATACCCAGCGTAAGTCTTGTCCTTCCCCAAACCCAAACTTCGTGTATCTTGTGGGTATGCGCTCACCTCAGTTGCATTAGTACATGGTTGTAACCAAGTACTGAACCAACTCCTACCATGCTTACGTGCTTAGGTGATGAACGCATAGGGAGCCAATTCGCTTCCAATTTTTAGGAAAGTAAGAGTGGCATGCGAACTTTTCGTTTGTTTGCAGTCTTTCGACTGCGAAGTGACCCTCACGGGGTTAAGCTCTTGAAGAATGCCTTCAGTGGCAGATTTGTTTCCCTGCTAACACAGCTTTGGCAGCTGGATTCAGTTGGCGCGGAGACACTGGAAAACTCTGTGCCGCAGTTGACTACGTTTTCTAGCGAAGTGTTCTCACAGGGCTTCCTCAATGGGATCGTTCACTTTGCCAGGGAATATACATCGGTTATAGAAGATGAGTACCTCACAGGCTACGAAGACGCAACGACGAAGTGCTACGTACGCCTGCATTCAGACCTTTCTAGTTAGCGTATAGGGGACTGGAGTGGGAATTGCCTGTCTACATCCGTCTCTCTATTGGTGTGTGTGTCTGCATGGGTGTGTATGCGTACGAACAGGAACAAGGCGTTCTGCTGACAAAGGCCAAGCTGATTGTAGGTTTAAGGCACACACGCACAGCACAGACTTCGGGCAGTGTTCTCACCGAACATTCAAACGTTAGCAGCTCCAGTGAAAATCCCTCGCTTGTGGAACGTTCCCTTTGTGCGCAGTGCGAAGGAACGTTTAGGCGACTGGAGGTGTTCTCTACCAGGTCTAAGGCAGTCCTGAATTTCATCAGCTGGATGGCGTTTCGGGACTACATTGCTGAATTATTGCTCATGGTGTACAACACCGCAAGGCTTTCATTAGAGGCGCAAATGAAACAGAGTGAAAACCCTTCAATTGAAACTTTGAGGGCTGCATTCGCTGAGGTTGGCTTGCAAGACTCCTTAGTTGCAAATATCGTAGTCAAGCCGAGGCTGCAAAGGGATGTTCACAATTTTACCTCCGGAGTGGTTGGCATTAGTAAGTTTCTCTTTCTGAGTCAAAGTCATTGCGCTTGAACTGCGTCTCCACTTAGCTTCCAAAGAATCGACCAAAATCCATAGTTGAGTTTTTTTATGCCTCTATGTTTGCCACAGCAACATTCTTTATGCTGCGAAAGCTGCACCAATGGAGGCCACGCTCGTTGAAGACCTCCCAGAAGCTCGGTGCAACTGTCCCACAGACTGTTCCAGAGCAAAAGTCCACAAATGCAAATGATGAAGACGTGTCCCTAGTGACACAGCGGTTAGAAGCATTTGCGGAAGTGGAAATGCCACCAGAATTGGCAGTGGCTGCTCCAGAACTCAAGATAGTTGAAGACAAGTCCGTAACATCGACAGAAGCTACTCTACTGGAAACGTATGCGGCTAAGAGAGATATCCTGATGATATCTCTCCTGCGACGGTCTCTACAGAAGCTTATCGGGGCCTTTGACAGCATTTTTGGACGCCTAGAAAAGATGGTCAGAGCTACCGTAGGACGCGATAGGCTCCAAACGTGCAAATTGGCTGATCGGAAGCTGTGCTTTAACGCCGATGAAGCCATGAAAGCGAGATTTGCCGTCCTACAGTTTGTTTTAGCGGCTCATCTTGGCGTGTCCATTGGAACGGGCGATAAATTAATTGAGTCCCCCCAGGAGCTAAGGGATGATTTTATGTCCTTTGTTAAAGATGCAGCATGGTTTCGCTACCGCTCCCGTACCTTTAAAGTTCTTCGAACAAGAACTCGGTGGGGCCTCGATATCCTAATAAACCACTTGTTTCCCCAGCAAAAGGGAGAAGCGAGAAGGGAGCCCATTTCAGAGGAGCATTTAAAGACTATTGAGCTGGCAGGTACGTTTGGCTTTGCGTTTGTAGCCTACCCACGGCAGTAGTGAATGGAATTAGCAGACACTTGAGTTTTCCTTGAACCACTATGGACTACCGGGCAGTCTCGTGCTACTAAATCTGTATGCGCTGATGTTTTCCAATTGCTTTCAGTGACCTCAAATCAGGCGGCAGCAAGTGACGTTGTTAGGAAGCTGGTGAGTCTACTCATATATTGCCGACGAAGAAAGCACAATGGCGGCTGGCGTGCAAATCCGATGAGCGAGGCTCTGTAGGCAATATTGCACATAGCATATGGGTCTGGGTAATGTCCCACTGACTCTACGTTTGCGGAGGATGCTTTTTGTTCAGTTTAAGTTGACCCGGCTTCAGTGCCTCAACAACGGTGCACTTTTTGTACTGACCACGGATCTGGGAGGCGCCAAAGTTTTTAGGCCAGGTATGAACAAACACTGAGGTGAAATTCCTGATATATTTGCACCGGCTCATGGCATTGCCACTACTGCTGAGAAAACAGGATATTGCTCTTTGCAAATGTACAACATTGCTTTGCTCTTACTTCCGCAGAACCTCCCATCACGCAGGAGATGAAAAAGCAACTGTGCACGCCGGAGCACGAATTTGTCAAGTTCAATGCTTTGTACATGCAAAACGACGTGGGAGGACACTTGATAGTGCCAGGCCATGCGGACATTGACGGATTCATCGTCGATTCTGGAATTATCTTAAGAGATAAGCATAGCGACGAAAGCGCTGCGTACCTTATAGAAGCAACCCTGTGGTCTAAAGGCATTCCACGCATTGATGCGCTCAAGGTAATTGTTGACACCATTACTTCACTGACTTGGTTTATAGTGATATTATAAGTCATCCTGCACCAAAATATTTTGAAGACTAACAATTTCTTGAATGATTCTGCCACTAATTAGGCCTTGGGTTGTGGGTTGTAGAGACCAAGCAATGACGCGCAAAGGCCCGCAAAGCATGCCATCCAAACGAACCAAACAACTTTGCGGTCTTCGACTGTTTGTGGCAGGCGGCAGACCTCCTGGTGGCGACGAAAAGAACGCTTTACAGAGATAGGAGCTGGCAGGAGTTTTTCAACGAGTGGACCCCAACAGATCTGGATTACGTGCAGCACAATATTTCATCGGGAATGCACCTTCAGAGGGAGAAATACATAGATGAAGAGCGAAAAGCTCTGTATTCCCTTGATTTATCCGCCGACGGGTTCCTCGAACTGTTGGTTAGGTCGCTTGAATCTACATTTATCACCGCAGGTGCGGCCCACAGCTGTCCTTAGGCGCTTCTCTTTTGTAGCAGGCAAAGTACGAGTATGTAGAGTAGCTCGGCAGTGGGGTGACCTGGAAATCGATTTGAACTGCTGTACTGCTGTGCTTAGGGAGTTTAAGTGCCGGCTTGTCCGACTTAGTTTTAATTTTTCCTATAACTGTTGGACTGGAAGCCTTGAAGATGGCGGAGAAAAATGTCACTGGCTTGACGAGCATGCTGGGCAGGTTTCAAGTATTGTTATGGGACGAATATGCGGCGAGAAAACGGCGGACCAAAAACGCACCAGTTTGTTCCCAGTTGGAAAGCTCGGTCGACTCTGCAGGTTCACCTCAGCCCGCAAGGAACGACTTTCACGGGCCCTCAGTAAGCGACGCGTTCGCCAGGGAGGAGGGAGCTACTGACCCTCTCTTTGTTGAATGGTGCGAAGAATTACATTCGCGAGCTAGCAACAGCCCCGACGAACCCGGCGCCGCCAGATTAGCTGCACAAGATGCTGGTATAATTCAGTGTTCACTCCTTCGCTTCCTCGGAAAGCGCCAGATGGTGTGTCTACATAAAACACAGTTAAAATAGCACTCTGTCTCAAATGCCGGCATGCATATGCAATTTTCAGATGCTACGAAAAATGTGTGAAACTTCATGCCCTACTTTCCTAAATGCACCGATCGCTAAATTTGAGGAAATGCTGCTTCCCTGATTGCTCCTTATGGCTGTCCCTTGCAGGGTGAACCGACTGAAAACGAGAAGAACGCTGTGTTCAAATATCTCCACCGGGTGACTGAGCTTCTTCGCAAGGCGAAGAAGACCAATAGGTATTCGTGGAAAAGGTATTTGAATGCCAAACCTTCAAGAAAGGGCGAAAATCGTGAGGAGGCAGACTCTGTTCGGGCAGCCATCAAACGCTCGCTCCTCACTCTCAAAAAGCGCCTCAGTAGTGGCACAGGACGGATGGCTCACAAGATTAGAAGTGAAGCAGCTAAAGAGATCTTCGGAATCCGGTAAGCACCACAGCTAACAAACATGAGTATATTTTCTGTCTGCAGAACGCTGACTTTAGTAAGGAACGTGTTGGGGACTCCAACACGTCGCCTAACACCTGCACCACTGCTGCTGTGGTGCGTTCAGGTTTTTCAATATTCTGAGAGGTCCTGAATTTCTCCGAACACTGCAGTTAGCTGCGGTGGAAGCGTTTGCTGACCAAGCTCTGTTCCCTAGCAAAGTGCTCATCCATCCCATTACCCTAGCTGCCTTTACGCGCATCCGCACCTTGATAAAGTTTGAAGTGCTTCCGATTATGGACCGACCTGAAGGAGTGGAGCTCATTACACAGATGAAAATGATGCCAACACCGTCTCCCGCGATGGAAAGTAAGCGTCTCGCTGCATACATAGTCCGCCAAAAAGCTCCTCGATCGTGCGAAGTTTCAGTCTAAGCATCTCCAGTATGAACATGATGATGTTATAGCTACACTGTGCTTTTGACAAAAATATTGTGGTTGTGCCTTCAGAGCTGATAAAACGGCTCAAAGCTCAGCTGAAAACAGCCAAAGCAGAGTTCGGTCCAGCATACAGAAGCCATGTAAGGAAGTGTGCGGGTTACCTTTCGCTGCTTAATATTGCGTCGTCGGCTCCAGCATACGTTAACTCGAATCTGCCCCGTCTGTTTTCTCGCTTCGCTTCACTCCTGGAACGGCCGCTAGAAGCGAATAGACGCGAGTACCTCATCACCCGGCGAAGCCTGGCTTATTTGGAGCAGGCTGGGATGAAGCTGGTCCTTAAAGCTGGCGATGCAGTTGCATTGCTGGAGAAGTCCTCTATGGAGCCACCAGTGGAACTTCGTGTCCACCAGACCCTCGGGCTACTGAGCAACATCTCACCAGCGAGCCTTTCACTAGCTGCCGGTATTACAACATCCCAAACCCATAGCCATAGCTTTGCAATACTTTGCCCTGCTGAGAACCTTCTAATTGTGTAGCGCTTGCTCCGGTTATATTTCAAGAAATAAGGGGTCTTGAGTTTGCCTGTTTTGAAAATGCAGCCGGAAGAGCGCTCCACAACCCTCGACTTGGGCGGCCTAGCCTGTTTCTTTTCTGCAACGTGACGATCCCGGTGCTTGCTAATCCACAGCACCAGAAGAGGCGGGAAGCAGGCTTGAAGCAAATGAAAGAGCTGCGGGAATTGTTGATCACGTCTGAACTCCCTCTGTACTTCCAAATAAACAAGGAGGCAACCTCAGCAGATCTCGTTTTTCATGACTTGGAGTCGCTCATCAATGCAGCACAAAATGTGCAACTCCAGAGCGAAGCAAGCCAACAGGCTGACCTGACTGCTGGATTCCTGCTGCATGCGCCGTTGATGAAAGCATTGGAAATAATGGGTCTGGCAACTGAGCCTGCGGAAGATGATATTGTTGCGTCTCCCTTGCAGTGCACGCCAGAAGGTGAGGCAGGGTATTTGAACGCAGTATCCCTTCAGTTACGGTGTACTGGCTGGGGCGCGTTGTACCGGTAGCAGTAGCTCAGTCTGTATAATATATGTGTTGTTTTCCCCTTCTCAGATAAGAGCTCAGGAACCTGGTACACCATACCAATCAACGGGTCGAGTCGCCTGCGCATGATAACATCGATGTTGATCCAGCTGGGGGATGCAGAGGATGCAGTCGAACGCCTAGAGGAATCCAACATGGCTTCCGTGAGCACGCGGGATGGAAATACGGGGAATGTTGCCAGTGTCACAACAGACAATACTGAAGAAGGGAAACAATCCAGTGTGGATGAGGGGAGCTCTGCGGACTCCGACGGGCAGTCAACAACTAGATCTACGCGACAATCGGAACAAACTGATTCTGATTCGTCTGGCAGCGTATCATCAGATGGCGAAGGCATTTCGACAGTGGAGCTCACATATGGCAGCGAACAGTCAGCTGAGCCGTCCAAAACCAATGTAAATTCTATACCGTCAGGCGACTCTACGACACCTGCGGAGTTAGAAAGGAAGGGGCCGGAGATAAACTACGGTGGTGATCGCGCCTTAGAAATGGCTATTAGGGCAGATCAGGAAGGTCTACGTAACGCGAAGGCAGCTGTGCAACATCTGACACAGCAGGTTTCCTTATTTGAGGCCCACTCAACAGCATTTCCATCTATTCTCCACACCTTAGTTTCAGTAGCACAGCTCCCCTCTCGCCTTTACAGGTCAGTCTCCAGCCGCTTCGTTGGCAACATCGCTACTGCTGTCCTTGGTGCGCCCTTGAAGCAGCAGCGCAAGCGGGTGCTGCCCTTGGTGCGGCTGAAGAGAAACAAACTACGCAGGGGGAAGGCACTTCGCCGGCCTGCTGGAGAAGGCCAAGCGAAAAATGAAGCATCTGAAGCAAGCACTGAAAACACCTCCTTCTCGACTGTCTTTCTGCCATCCTCGGTAAAGGATGCCCTTGACGACGTCCGTAAAAAGTGGAAAAGCCTCTTGAAAACAGACTTTTTAGCCGTCAGAAGCGCTGCATGCAAACAGGATGCGGATCTTTGGCTGAAAGATGAACTCGCGGCGAATGAGCAAGCGTTCGCTGAAGAAATAGAAACACAACAAAGCATAGACGCATCTTCCGCACAAGAGCAGTCCAGAAACACTCACCAGAGCCGACAGCAACTGTGNAACAAAGCATAGACGCATCTTCCGCACAAGAGCAGTCCAGAAACACTCACCAGAGCCGACAGCAACTGTGCGTCCATCCCCTCTGGCTGGAACTGCGCTCTAGAATATCGGTGGAGCAAGAGATGCTGGAGGCCGAACGACTCTTCGCGTATTTCATCCGTATGGGGATCGAAAACGCGAAGTTAATTCAGCAGTCTGCAGACCAAGGTAACTTAAAGCTGTAATCTAGACGGTTCAACACGAGCTAACCTCTGGTGGAAAACAACTCATGCAACGAAAGTCCTACGACCATTATAGACCCCACTAACGGCATACACCTGTCTGTTCCTGTCATTCCGTTGCTTGCTGCAGCTCTGTTGGATCATCTGTGGGACCAATTGGTGAAGGCAGGCGTGCTGGGAGCTACAGCTTCCCCCGAGGCTTCTGCTGCTGCTCGCGGGCGTCTGCAAAATGCACTCGAGAGCGTTAGCAAGAAACGCCCGTTCATGGCTATCGAGCCCGTGCGTGAATTAGTTACTGGAGTGCTGGACGAGCTGCTGCAAACACCAAGCACGACCAAAGAGAAGCTCCGCGAAATGCTGGAGCAGCTGCAGATAGGGGCCGTGGAACGCGCCGCAGCCTTTCTGCTCAGCAAGGCAGCCGGAGTTGAACAAGATACAGCTCAGGAGACCGTGAGAAATCTTGTTCAACGCCAAACTTCTGAAGAAGCCACTCCGGAATTTACTCCTGGAGAGGGGCCCCGTGTCTCTAATCTGCAGGCGTGGTTAATCCAAATGTATTTCATCGCGGATCCGCTCATGCTCCTTTCGCGACCCTCGATATTTAAACCTGCTGTTGTTCTCATCGAAGTCCTCAATAAAGCAGCAAGTAAGACTGATAAAACTTCCTCAGGGAAGGCCTTGCACGTGCTGGCTGCCACTATCGCTACTCTGCCTATGCGTTACAACAGGTTTGAGTAGCGTATCACTCCCTTTTCAGGACGAGTATACTTCGCCTTTATGTCTTCCCTCTACGTTGGTTTCTGCTTCTTGCTACACCCAAGCTGTGCCCTCTGTGCGTTGTTTGCTGCCTTTCCAGACCCACGCTCCCCTGTCTACACTATTTGGCGCAAGGCTCTGAAGTCCACTCGTCAGCTGGCTATAGACTCTCTAGAGCTCCTACTACNTACACTATTTGGCGCAAGGCTCTGAAGTCCACTCGTCAGCTGGCTATAGACTCTCTAGAGCTCCTACTACGTCTGCCCCGTGCCTACGTCCGCTATCCACAGAAGGGGAATTAGATGACAGGGGAAAATGAAGAGGCTGAAGTTACCACAAGCCGCACCTTGTGGAACTGGTGTACTCAGCTAGTTGATACAGTCGGACTGCTCAGCACGAATGTGTTTTTCCGCATTGTAAACCGCGGTTGCCAAAACGATTTTTAAGGTGTCTGGGAATGTGATTCGGATGGATTATGGAACCCCAGAAAATACTTCGCCCAAGAGATGCCTCTATCGGCAAAATCTGCTGTGGGCGGCTGGCTCTATGCATGCACGTTTGTTCTGTTACTTGCACTACTGGGTACCGCCGTTTTGTGAGGCCTTCGCCGCCTCTTCTTGCTTGGCATTCGCCAAAGCAATGAACTCCGCAGCGCGTTCATCGTTCGAAAAACGGATGCGGTAGAACGTCGTATCCTTCGCGTCCTCTGCAGCCACAAAAGGAGCAAAGCATCAACTGCATTGCACAGGCTTAGCCAGCAGGAACGAATACGAACGATCACAACACTTATGTGTGCTTCACACAAAGCAAGCATAGCAAGAACTGAACAGAAGGAAGTTGTATGTGCACTGCAGACGAACTTGCATCGATCTTCAGTCCAGTGAACTCCACCGTATTCTTTTTTAGCGGCACTTCCTTAGTTCCCTCCGCATTGCCGGTCTCTGGAGCACCAGCAGCTCCTGGCGAAGTCGTCTTTGCTGCAGCAGAAACTGCTGAGCGCTCAATAGGATGTCTAAATTTAACTGTTGATGGTAACACCGGCGAATTCAACCGCAGACGTCCGGTGCGGTTCACGAAAAAGAGAATGCGGGCATTCGGCAGGCCTTCCTCTTCTCCCTTCTAAACCACCACAGTCCGCACACGCAACACAGTGTATAAACATCAACACCTACCTGCAGAGTATATCAGAGAGATTACCTATCAGTCTTGGCGCAACCTCACACACATGCACTCCTTTCAAAGCTACACAAAAGCGAAAATTAGCTGCAGCACCACCAAACGCAGCAGTAGCAGCCGCGGAGGCAGCAGCGGGCGCACACAGAACAGCCCTAACATATGCAAACACAACAGCAACAGGAACAGCAGCAGCAACAGCAGCAGCAACTCACCTTGGGTGCAACGAAGTCGACCTTGCCATCCAGAGGCGGCTTCGGGGTCCAGACTTTGTTTTCCAGATCGAAGCACTGCATGCGGCAGTCGCGCTGAATTCGTACACAGACGCAAACGTTTGCAACTAAGAGAATAGNTCGAAGCACTGCATGCGGCAGTCGCGCTGAATTCGTACACAGACGCAAACGTTTGCAACTAAGAGAATAGCGGCAGAAGAACCATATCCAATACAGCATATCGCAGCACAGGCAGAGACGAGAGAAGAAAACAAGAGAAACAAAACCCAGTGCATAAAATATAAACAAAGAAAAAGATTGAAAACAGGAAACAAACTACACAAAAAGGGAAACGACGAAACCAGAAATGGAAAAACTCCTCACGTCTGTGAAAATAACTTCCTCTTTGCTGTCAACGGCTGAAAACAGAACACGAAAACAAGACAAACAAAACAAAAAAAGATACCAGCTCCCTACAAGCCAGGCAGTCAGTGGCAGCACGAGCTGCTGTTACTAGTGCTGCAGCAGTGCTGCTGCTGATAGTCTAGCTGTTGCTTCTGTGCCTGCTGCTGCTGCATGTGCAAGTGTTTCTTACTGGTTGTGACGACGGTGGGTTCCTCCGGCGGGGGTACGTCTGCGTCTTCTGCTTCGGCTGCCGGGGCCGCCCCTGTGCCTTTGAATAGCGATGAGCCCTCAGAAGCTCCAGCAGAAGGCAGCAGGAAGGAGCTGCCTGCTGCTCCCTGCGCCGCATGCAAACAGCAGCAGCAGCACTGGTGTGCGACAAACAAAAGAGTTAAAACAAAAAAAAAAGGGAAAGGGAAAACTTGTCGTTGTGTCTCACGAGAGAACCGAAGGGGCTGACAAACGCCGACGTCCCTTTCAACACAGAACCAAAGAGGCCGCCACCGCCACTGCCGTTGCTGCTGCTGCTGCTGCCATTGCCTGCTGCTGCGTTTCCGTTGGGAGCAGCTGCCGCAGCTGCGTCAGCTGCAGCGCCACCAGCAGCATCAGCAGCAGAGGCGGTTTCCGTGCCTGTGGATGCGCCTGCTCCCTCTGCTACAGGGGCAGCTGGCGCCGTCTGTCCAGCATCAGGTGCGGCAGCAGCACCATCTGCTGCAGCAGTTGCTGCAGCAGTTGTTGCAGCAGTTGTTGCTGCAGGGGATTCTGCCGCCTGCGGGGTCGGTTCGGGTGTCTGCAGCCGCACGCAGAATAAA